AAAATTTGACTCATGCTACACCTTGCCAAATATAAACTATAGTTCAATTCCAAACCTTTTCAGTTAATCAGTTGTATTTCACTTGAGATTCTGTAACAGCAATCCCGTTATCTCATTGCAGCTATTCTGTTACAATAAACCTATTTTCCTGATTTAGTCAATCTATCAGTAACATTTTTCCCGTGATCGTTTTCCTTCTCCACGTATTTCAAACCCCATTAGATAGTACTAAATATCCTGCTACCACCCTGTAGGTATATCATCAGCCTGTCCTAATATTTAACGTAAATCACCGCTCGAATCTAAACCTATACTTTTACAAATGTCTGGTTGCCGTTTTTCTGAAACTCTGTTATATTATTCGGTTACAACTCACCGTGATTAAAGTACCTTTAATCAGATGAATTTCTTACTCGTGGTTAATGACCCCGTTGTTTTGGTGCAGGTAGCCTATTACGCTGTTTCAAAACTAATTGCTTACTTTTCTGAGATAATTTGATTTTCCTCTTAGAATGAAGAAACAATTAAAATTGCTTATATAAAACAGGAACAATGTTACTCTACTTGCCCATATGAAGTTCTTCTCCGACGGTACAATTCCACGGTCTCTTTGAAACGTTGTTGTAATTTCAATAGTCTGTTGCATTCATCTAGCTTTACTACTCCGATTTAACCCAATCGAGGAATATAAGGCGCATACCGAGATGGGTGATATTTCATCAACTATTTTGCAAATCAGCAATATTTGACAAAATAATTACCTTGCGGGAAAATACCAATCCAGTCAAAGCAAGCGATTTATATGTCAAGAATATTTTCAGATATTCTGCACATTTACCACTGAATAACAAGAAAGGGGCGTATTGAAAGTTCCTCTCTTAATCCAATAGGGTCTTTTCTATTCCAATATGGCCATATCATAAATTCCCAATGGTTGTTGAGGAAGCCGCCAAAAAAGGTTGACTAAACTAACGTTCGAGAAAAAGAAACTTCCCACGAGAAAAGCCTTTATGCGATCGGAAGGTATGTATTAGATGGGCTGCAATGATTCAAAGTTTACCAGCCATTTAGAAAACTAACCGAACGAGTATTACGCGTCTCTATGGGAGAAACAGGTCCATTTGGGTCTCACAGATGAACAAGAAAAGAGGCACAAGGTCCTAGTAGTACATAAATAGATTAATCTATATACACGGTAGACAAATAGATAGACGAGACAGACTCACAAGTTTGGTCACGTGCCTTTTTTGCCCCTGAAATTAACTAATCTGATTCGTTGATGTTGCACCTAGCTTACCGTAAACCTTAGGTAGGCTACATATCAAAAGCTATTTTGTTGCCCTACTAACTCTTTTTGCCTTTACAGGCATGTGACTACTTTGTTTTAATCTGAGCAAATCCGATTTGCATTACATTTAATCCAACAAACTATACTTATGTTACAGAGCTACAGCGCCTCGTTGCAGTGTTCCTGAGATCAATTGTACAACAGCGGTTCTGTTACCTCGTTGCAATAACTCAAATCAGTAAATCTGTCGGCACCATTTCTTTCGTTGCGGTTATATCTTGCTTCACATATTATTGCGTTCTCCCATCGGAAGATTTCAACTGTCCTGCTTCCATACTACAATCGCCTCATTAGTCTGTTCTCACATTGCTTAACCGCAGACCAAAATTTTTACAGGCTTTCGGTTGGAGTTCCCCTAGAACCCCTTGTATGAACTCGGTTATCCCGTTGCAACTATTCAGTTACAATATTCATATTTCGTTAATCTATTCAAATCCGTGCCTTGTATATAGTTGTCCTAGTGTAGTTATTCTATACTAGGCTGATTCAGCAGTGATCAGCTACTGTTGAAATTAATGTCTTGTTAACCTCATTACTCATTAACGCACTGCATCCATGCTGTTGCAAATATGAAGCCTACTTGCACGCGGCGTCAGTCTGAGATCTCACCTAACACAAACTTCGTACTTTACTACTGCTATTTTTGTTCTTCCGTTGAAACGTTGTTGTAGGCTTAATACCCAATGGCATTCAATCTGTATAGTCATCCCAGTTAATCATATTCCTCAAATGAAAAGTATTTGTACAAGAGAAAAATACGGATCCTATATGCCGGAATGGTTTAACTTTTATCATCAAACCAATAAAATCAGCATCACTTGTCGGCTTTGGGGGAAAGAAACTATCCTTCGGAAAAGGCATTCGTCTAATAAAAAAAAACATGATTCGTATGTCGTTCATATTTCATCAATATCTGACAACTTCAGCGGAAATAATTTTTTGCAGGTGAATGTCATAAAAACAAAAAACTGCCTTGATCGAGCCTAAAAAGACAAATAAACAACCTCCCAGCACAACTTTTTCATGACAAATTCTCAGTGGTTGCCGAAGAAAGCACTGAAAATTGTAAGCTTGCCCAGATTACAATTATACTTTATCTATCTACTTTCAAAAATCTATAACATGGAAACATAACACAATATTTCTACCCCCCCCCCCCCCATCCCTCCAAAGAAAACCTTGAGACTATCTTATAGAACTTGAAAAACAAACTACTCTATATAAACTTCTCGCAAATTATCAGCGACTGTCAAGCGAACGGCAACAAAGGGTCGATTTGACCAAATTAAGATTAATGTATTCTTTGGGAGAAAAAGAAACCTACAAATCTTCAATAGGTATTCATCCGGCCGGCTTCATCTCACACGCACCTCACTTTAGGATGAAGCTCTAGCAGTTTGAAAAGATCAACTCAATGCGACTGCCTTACGGCATCGATTTGGGTCGGACAAATACGTAGACGGACGGATATACAGACAGATTGACCCAATTTTACTAATACTGTGGAGCGGATAAATGGAACCTTGTCATTTTGCGGCATTGTTTTTATTCATGGTAACATTTCGTAATAGTCAGCGTAGCATTAAAGATAATTTCGTGAGTTGTTGGTCGTCATTTCAAACTTATTCGAAGCTTCCCCAATTAAAATAGTTACTTACTGTCTAAGATGTATTAAATTGTCAATAGTTAATCTTCGATCTAGCGCAAATTTGCGAATCAAGGTCCAAACGTAAAGGGAATCATATACAATTACTAGTAGTAATTATATTGAACAGCACTGTTTTGTAGCTTGTAATCACAGGTGCGAGATAGTCACATATGGCTAAATGATCAATAGAGAACTATTACGGTTTTTGAAGCGGGGTGCTCTTTCTTGACAGAGCCAACTCGTACAGGATTCTAACAGTACTTAACTAATGCTAGGTAATTATAGAAAAAGATAATAAATGAGTAATGATCCATAACAGAGAGTGACTACTATGTTATAATCCCAACGAGCTTCAAAAGCAACGATAACTGGAGCTCATTTCAGTTATTGTCGTATAACGTACTATAAATACAGAGCACTTCCTGCCATCGATATTTATTTTGTAAATGGATAGAGCGATACCCATTCCACATATGCAAAACTGGTCTCCTTTATAGGAAAGAATATCGACAGAGCGCAACTGAACAAGATCAAAGCGGCGTGAGTGAGTGATTATCTTATCACCTGTGGATCGTTAATATTTTCTGTATAGAATTAGCTACCAACTAAATAAATGAAGGGGACCGTCGAGTAGAGAACAACGTCTAAATGTCGTAAACTCCTATTCGACACGCACAAACCCAACACTTTGTTCACGTGTTGCATATAGCAAGGTCAACTATTGGACGTATAGTTCAGACGATTAGACGGGTTAGACGAGATGTCTACATGTTAACCGTACGAAATCATATCCGAAAATTAGTTCCGCAGCTGTACAAAGAACGCAACGCAAAAACGTATAGATACACATATGCGAACACTGCCATTATGAACTACCAAGTCTATTACCGGAGCTTTCGATTCAAACTCATTCGCTCATCGAGCAAGTAGGAGCTGAGCGCCTGCCACCGTCAATTGAGCCTTGATGTTGTCTGATTTAGCAATTTGGATTAGTCACAATATCACAAGCCGCCGTAGCGCAGAATAAGGAATGATTACGTATGTCTACGATGGTATGGACATATCGATTAAGACACAGATTTATATGTACGAACATGTGCGACAGCACGATCGCGATGAAATTAACTCTACTCTAACTTAAAACTTTATGTACCTCCACTCCCGGGTTATACGATTTGAATTATTGCTGAAATCTTGATTGTCGTATTCGCTTTCAACCCACAGGAATTGGTCTAATGATAATGGACGCAAAATAGCAAATCAGTAAACCGCTTAATGATAAATCATTGTTCATTTATAGTGTCTGTTACTTCTTTTGAGATTTGACGGTATAACCAGATATATATAACATATAATTACACGTGCACCGTAAATGTCTTTGATTTCTTACTTTGCCTTTAACTTTTTAACTGCGAGTCGTTAGCGAGATTACACATGCTGATCGAAATATAATTACTACCCCGTCAAGTTCTTAATATTATCATTAGTATGTGCTAGAGGCACTGACCCAAGCTAGGCAATAATTTCATTTTTCGATAATTGAGGGAGACACTAAGGCTAACCGCGAACCTTGTCAGAGAAGCAACTACCCAAATTCACCTAAGTGGATACACCTATTTCCGTAAGTATTCAATACAGTAGTAATAATTTTAGTTAAGTAACTTTAGCCAACTTAGCTTGCATCGTAAGTAACTTAGAAATGAAGCCATGTTGTTGCAGTTAGGAAGAACATTAACCAGTACAATGCTGTAGAATTCTAAATATAACAATTTCAATACAAAATTGTAACCGTTTCTATTTCAATTTCAACCGGCCTACTGATAATGACACGAGGGCTCGACGCTTTCCTTTTACTTGAGTGTCGTTTCGCGCGCCGAGTCAAGAAGGGCGCCCCATCTATTATATGTGAGTAATAGTTTAGTTCAGCAACGACGGATTTGGAAATCAATAAAAACTTAGGTTAAATGGTAGTTAGATTTCACTTGTGTGCGTGGATGAACGTACCTGAAAGGCGGCACCGACTCGGATCTCAGGTCCGGGTTCGGCCGCGCCGGCCTCAGCCGGCTCAGCCGTCGTCGCAGCTTGTCCGCTAATCTTGGCGACCGCCGTTTGCTTGCCCCCGGATGCCCCGCGGCGAAGCGCGTCAACCCACCACCACCACCTCCACCACCACCGCCGCCGCCGCCGCCGCCGCCGCCGCCGCCACCGTCGCCGTCGCCACCGCCGCCGCAGCCGTCGCCGCCAAAACTCTGGCGAATCGGCGCCACTTCACTGGCGCGACGACCGGCTTCAGTGAAGCCTCCAACTCAGACCTCAGGTCTATGGGGCACAACGATCCGCAGATCACCACACGACCTTTCGATCAGAGTAGCTGTCCTTCGTAATGACCGAGAACTTTCCCTGAATTTGCTCCGTCTCTCTGCGCGCTAATCGTCTTTTCTTCTTTTGAGTGTATATATATACATATACGTATACGTATACGTATATATATATATATATATATATGTATATATGTTTCCTGAGTATTAGTAATTAGTGTAAGATATATTGACATAGGACATTGACCTCACACTGCGCTACGGTGTGTACACGACGTGACACAGTGACAAGTGCTGTTACGGCGACGACGACGACACCGCAGGCTCTCGTTTAGATGTGGCGATAGTGGTCAGATGCAGAGCCTAAGGCAGAAAAATGCTTCAATTGGATAGGACAAGATAGTCCTGTATTTAGCAGAAACATACGTTGGTTTGCTGTTAATGGGTCTTCTTGTATTTGTCAGTAGCCACCAAGACGCTCCTACATCGTGACACTTTCGGGGATGTAAAATCGTTTCGCAAAAGCTGACCGCTATAATTTGTGCTGATTTTATATTCATCGATCACACATAGGAATTAACATCGTGGCTCCTCTCTGGTTTCTATGGGTTTCGATCTTGGCCACCTTGAAGCCAAACCACTACACGGACAGCCAAGCAGAACCGCTAAATTGACTGTACGGAATAGCTAGTCTGTCCGCTATATCACAGCAACTGCTCCAAACTGTCGATCTACTAATAATACTAATGTTATTATGATAATTGTTTTCGCAGTGACGCTAGTGGTCACTAGCCGTTGTGACCGATGAATTTATGGCGATCGTCGGTTTCTTAAAAGCCCTCGTCGTCGACCCACAGTAGCTCGTCGCCAACCGGCGGGTGTTGGGCATCAAAAGGAATATGATCGCCCGGGACGGGATCGCTGTCTGCTTCACCAGCAGCGGTGAGTAGCGGCGCCAGAAGCAGCACCGGCAACAGCTGCGCTGGCGATCACTCTGATGAAGCGTCTTCGTGATCCACCATTTAGTTAATCGCGATCAGCAGGTGTTATTATTGCTATTGCTGCTGCTGTCGTTGTTGGAGTACATTTTTAGTAGCAACAGCAGCGAAAGGGTGCGGGTGAGACCGAGAGAGAGAGAGCGAGCACGCCCGAAGCAGGGGCCGCGGGCGGGAAACCCAAAACGAGGCGAGACTTGGACGCAACTGCTAGGAATAACGTTTCTCAACTCTCGCTGCACTTCCACGACACTGAGTGACTGACCGGCTGGAGGTATGTGGACGAATAAGCTCCCCCGTTACTGCCACTAGCGCCGCCGCCGCCGCCGCCCCCAACAGGGTCAAATCACTCGACAGCACAGTAGACCCGTAGACATCCACCATGGACACCCGTCGGCGGCGACTCTATATAGCCCACTACGAGCACTAGCGAACAGACAACACTGTGACAAGAGTTCGACTATAGGGTCCTCGACGCCTTTCGCCCACTTGTGGTCATTTGTAGATTTAGGAGCGTCTTCCTGTCCTCGACGTATTCCTTTCTATCCACACTCGGTCTCTTTCGCTGCGTTTTTCGTTACGAAAGATTTCGCGTTGCTGCTTTTGAGAGCAGTGCTGCCGCCGCCGCCGTCGTCGCCGTTGCCGCCGCTGCTGCGACGAGCAATAATGTTGCTGTTGTTTCGCCTATTAGCGCCCCCACATCCACTTTGCTTTGAAAGGGGTGGGGAGAGGGCACTAGGTCGGGGTGTTGTTTTTCCGGTGTTACTGCCGCCGTTGGCGTAGTAGTAAGCGGCCCTTGCGGCTTGTCCTGCTTCGGTTCTTCCGTTGAGTGGGAGACAATCTCGCTCGATCAGCTCGCACAACTCCGTGCAATAGCACTTCACTTCACACAACAACAAACACTTGTGTATACACTATGATACGATCTAGGACCAATGCTGAGCGAAGATAGGTAGGTAGGTAGGCACATCACGTAGATTTTCAACTCTTTACCGTTGCTGTTGCTGCTGCTGCTGATGATGATGATGATGATGCCACAACTCACTCCTGTTCATCGTTGTCGTCGTCGTCGCTGTTCAGCGCCGCCGCAAAAGCAAACTCACCCCCGCTAGCAGTAGTCGCTACTGAGCGAACTAACGGCGACAGGCGGACGGATGACACGCCGCAGCACCGTCGGAACAACAGCTCAACAACAGAGAGTCAACGCCGCGGTCTCACACAGTCTTCGACAAGAGCGGGCGGCTAGGCAACATCATCACTGGCAGCGGGTCGACATAGCCATCAGCAGCGGGTTGTGATTGTTGTTATCATCGAGCAGTAGCGAGAGTAGTAGTCGTAGCACTGATGGAAACAGCCGCGTAACTACGACGACGGCGAATGTCTTGCGGCAGATGGCGGGAAGGTAGCACAGCTAGAAGAACGCTGCTTCCGCTGCCGCTGCCTCAGCCATTCCTTGTTGTTCCGATCGCTGCCGCTGCAGCCTGGGGTCGCAATAGTGGCGGTGGTGCTCGGCCAGCAACAACACAGACGAACTCATCATCAGCAGTAGCAATAGCAGCATCACGTTAGCAACAACATTTGCAGCGCACGCACTCTTCGCTGTCGCTGCCAGCGCTCAAATTACGCTACCACTTCAACTTCACCGCTAATACAAATATAGACAATTGTGGCTACGGGAAGAGAGCTAGAGTTGTTTTTAATGTTCTTGTTGTTTGTTGTTGCTGTTGTTGGTGTTGTCGCTGTCGTTGTCGTCAGCAGTTTCGTTGTCCTTTTCTTCGTCGTCGTCGTCACTGGAAGTGTGGCGCCGGCAGCGGCGACAAGAAGCAAACAAAGGCGAGTTGAATAGAAAATAGCACTGCGACACGAACGATCTCCTTGTCAGTCAGCCGTTGGATGAACAAGCTCAGCGACGTTCATTAGCAAGCGATTACCGGCAGACGCACAGATTTATGCACATAGACGTTACGTATTCGTACACAGAAGTATGGTTTCGACTCGAGGCTCCAACGTACGGCCCCCACTATTACCGACGAATCAATAGACAAAAATGAACTCACCGCCAAAGCGACGGCGGCAGCCATCCACCATCGAGGCAGCGAGCACCCACAACAGCAGCAACACCAGGACACAACGACCATCAACCAACACCGCCACCTACCATTATCGCCGGTGTCGCCACCGCAGCCGCTACAAGCAATCATAAGCGGAGAAGGAGCTGCTCGACCAGAGAGAGCCGGGTAACTGCCGAATGCCGCCGACAACTCACTCTCCCAATCGCTCGCTCTACTATTACAATACCTATTGCTATTACTCGCGCTCCTGCAGACTATATTGATAAGGCCGCTGGTGCCATCAATAGCTGCAGCCGCATCAACAAGAGCATCCGAGCGGAAAGAGACAGGAACTTCTGCAGCTCTCTATTCCAGCGGTAGCAGAAGCACTCGAAGCGGCGAAGCCGACAACCATCCGATTAGTGGAGAGGACGATGAAGAAGACAAACTACCTACCAGAACAACAATAACAACATAATGAACAGGGCTGTGAAGGGGCGCGAGGGACAGGATTTTGGCAAGGCGCAGTCAGACAGACGAACAGACAGACTGCCGAAAAAGCTTGACAGCAGACGATGTTGCTGCGTATGCGGACACTGCTTCGGAGAGAAGGTACCGCTCATCTGGAGCGTACGAGCTTCGATACGTTCTTTCTCGAACAATGCCAGGCCTCAATTTATTTTGTCCTTAGGTTTTTATCGCCCAAGGCAGAACAAGTTTACTTTCACATAATCGAAGCAGAATACATTCTTGTTTCTGTCACGTAGATTATTTTTCTCCCTTTCCCTTTCTCCATAATTCTACATGGCGATAATCGGTATTTAGAATTTGATCAGAAGAATAAGTATTTAAAATGGCTTAAAAGGCTGTTCATTTATTATTGCAGACTAGTATGAGGCTTTCGATCTGTCTGGTCGTTGGGACGATAATTGTTAATAATAATTAATATTTTATGACAATTTGAGCCGCCACGCTTATTTGAAAGAAATGCCTGAAAAAGAGCTGTCGATGCGCACACTACAAGTTTGCGACAATTTGTTGCTCAATTTGGTAGTAGTATAAGAGTTTTTCGAATAAAAAAAAATTTAGGCGACGTGTTTGTATAAAAGAAATCTATAAAGTTTAATTCGAAATTGAACATCCGATTCGTACGTACTCACAGGTAGGAACTGCATGCTGGCCTTTCAATAAAATTTTCGAGACGTTTCTTGCGTTTTCAAAAACACCTGGTTTTTTGGTATTCTCCCAATCAATGAAACTGAACCATAATGCCCCATATTAATAGAACGACTGCGCTACATGCATAGCGCGCTTTTTTAAACAACAACAGTAAATACCGAAAACTGACCAAATAGTCTTCAACAAGATTAACCTTTAAGTCCTACTTTTTTCAAGCTAATTTTTAATTCTCAAGATGATTATACAATATTTGAAATAGATACCAAACCGTAAATTTATGACAGAAAGCCTATCTGAATGAATGGTCGTTTTTCTATCAAGAAAATAAAAACAAAACATTATTCCATCTTATTTCTAGAGAAAAATAGATCCCAGGAAGATGCATTGTGTCCTTTTACGGGTTGTCGGCTTCCTAGTAGACAACATCTTTTTTATTCGTTTGCACCGTCTATTCCTTTTCTCAGAAAACTTATTTAATCTAAGATTGACACATCGATGAATCCAAGTATTTAAAATATTAGCATAAATAGCAAATGAATAAATAACATTTTTTTGAGGTTCAGTGAATTCTCAATTGAAACCTTTAAGGCGCTGTCATATAATTTAATGGCCCCGACTTGACCCTTCTAAAAAAATAATACAGACTGGCACAAAATCTTCCTAAAGTGTTTTATTTATAGAAGATTATTGAAGGTTCGCCATTTTCCGAGGTAATGCTCATCCTACACGTTTGATAAAATCCGCTCCTTAAACGGAGTTTAAAATATGGCAGAAATCAATGGAAAGATGTGTTGTTCAACAACAAACTTTGCTCAGTCTCACAGAGAGTTACGTTGTAATTGTCACATGATGATATAGTCATTATGAACTCTCAACAATATGCCTTTATTCAGCATCAAGAATAAATATCTATAATATACTAGCATTTTAAATAATTAATTCATATCAACATATATGCCTTGGCTACGGAGTAATCAAGGACGCTGTGCTGAGAATTGTTTCAATATACGAAAAGAACCATTGTATTAAAGGCAAGCGATAGCGCCCTCTGTAAACATTATTCTTCCTAGTCGTTCGAATTCAACAAACGAATCAGAAGGCGAACGGGCTTTGAAGCACGGAGGAGAGGTGTAACATGCTTTGATTCGTTGTCGTTTGTCACTTCAACGAATCGAGTGGAAACTATCTGCAGCAATCAATGGTGCACTTTTTTGTGTTAGAATTTCTACTTCATGATAGCATTAGTTGTATATAGTTCTTAAAAATATCTGTTTCCAACAAACGTCACTCGAGGTATGAGTGTCTAATAATGCATTTCTGTGATTATGGTGCAGTGGTAACGTATTTGCTTACTAAACATCGAGACACATGAGAGGTGGGTTAGGCATGAAACCGGGCAGACTCACTGCGTTTTTTGCCGGAAACCAGTTGCCTGAAACAATGTTTAGCGGTAATAGTACCCCACGTAAAACTCGAAACAAAAAAAATAGTACCGTGAGATCAACAACTGCGAGACGCTCGCCTCTTCCGATAGAAGCATTTGGCCATAGAGCTGTGGTCTATACTGCTATACACATTTAGTAATACATAGTTAAGCTTTGGACTACATGCAACGAAGAAGTTAATAAGGGGTTAACTTCTCAAACAGTTGAATATATAGTAACTGCTAATATATAGTAATCGTTTGTACACATATGAATTTCGCACCCTTGATAAGTACGTTCTTATAATCCAAAGCAGTTAAATCTTGGTCACTCATACCCTACAGAATCATTTTAAGGTTGAATGCCTTTAAGGAATACTCTTGCAAAAATATATTTACGACAAGCTGGATCTTTATCTGATCACTGGACGTAAGCGATATTAAAGAAATCAGGTTCTCATCTGCTTTTAGAATTTCTCTTGGCAACGTGTGAAATATTGTCAAAAATTATATATATTCTGGTGATCTTTATTTTCCCACGAATTTCATGCAGATGTTTAATTTTAATGGTCAATATTATTAACAACTAGAAATTTGGCCCGACAAAATATTTTTTTTTGCTGACCTTCTTACGTACATTTTGCTTGATTAGCTTACAGAGTCAACAGGTGATTGTAGAAAAACTCAGCAACGAAGATATCATAATCGTATTTGTTACATTTAGATCCAATTTAGATCAGACGCAATCATTTAAACATGACTTAACTTATTTACCCAGTGAACATTTTGGCAGGTAACGTGTGAAGTGAGTTTAGATTTGAAAAAAGCGAAAGTACCGAGTCAACAGCATCGACCATAACGCACGAAAATGGTTACCCGTGAGGGCAAGGATTTACTCAAGAACACGATTCAGTCGGTCGGCTTTCACAACAAGGTGCTCGAGGAACAAGAAATGTGGAAACAGGTATAGTAGTTTCCCTGTTTTTTTTTTTTTATAGACACTAACGCAGACTACTGTTCTACATATGAAACGAGCACCAGTCCTTATAACGGAGTAGAGATAAAATCAAAACGTACGCAACGAATCCGAGAGAAATAGGAGTTTTGTATCCTACAGGCTTAAAGGAAAAACTGATAAAATTTGAATAGCAACAGATAGAAAAATCGATGCAGGTATTAAAGTTCTCTAAAATGTCATGGACATCCAAGTATAACATTTGTGATTGTTGTTTACTAGTTGTATACCTTCAAATTGAGTTCGGTGTGTATTATAGGTTTCTTAGCTGGGAAAATAAATTGCATCGAGCTGTTTAGACACAAAGCGTCTTATATTAGGCGAATTCGGCAAAATTTGTAATTGCAGTGGGAACTGGAGCGGGGACTGACGATGATGGTGAGCGACGATCATATTCGAAAAAGAATAGCTGCCCGTGACGAAGCACGGTCACATTGCGTTGACCGAAGCAATCGTCATTGCGACAAACAAGACACACGCGAGAAGGCGAAAAATCGAAAGAGACATAGAAGTCCCAAAAACTCGGTTGGCAACGGTCGAACTATGGGAAAAACTACAGTTGCCCCTGAGGTGAGAGTTTTGGGGAAGCATGGAATATTTTTTGGGTGATTTTGTACGTGTTGTTATTTAACCTCAAGCTGCAGCGCTTGACTCGCAAACTTCAAAGATTATAACATATCACTAGAGATAAGAGTTTCCACAAGCGACCAATAGAGGTATATCGAGTTGCATTAAGGCTCTACTAAATACATATAAAAAGAGGTAATCTAGAACACTTTTTCTGTATTCGCACTAATTTCTCACATAACCGGTATACATCTGCCTAAGACAACCGAGCTGTACCGATCCCTTGATTGGAAGGCCCTTTTCTTATATTTTAAATTCAAATGCAGTTTCTAAAGTGGGGCTTTTTGATAAAAGCAGAAAGTGCAATGCATCTAATCGACAAGGGACTGATTTGTCTCTTATAGGATCGTTGGGATCATAGCGGATTTTACGAGCTTGAGTATGGAAACCACACATATGACCAGGTACAATCTCGACGCTATATGTGTCTTACGTAACTCACTTTATTAGTACCTCTGAATAAACTAAAACACCATTATAATGAATAAGCTACTTTCATCCCTTATTCACTAATATGAATATTCAATAACAAATACATTTTAGAAAACTCCTCCATTCATCCTTTCTTAATTGCTATCATTATAACAAATTTTAATTATCCGCTTACATAGGATGATAAATATTGTTTACGTTTATAAACAAAAAAACTTTCTTTTCAGCGAAAATCTGATAATCAGAGAGCGCCTTGGTCATCTTCTGAAAGCAATCAAAGCATTAGCCAGCCGATTAAATACGGACCCAGGCCGCCTCCATGTCTTCATACGAATCCGCAACGTGAAAGAAAACGCAGAAGAAAGAGAAAGCAAATGCAATCTCCGATTCCGTCATCGTCCACCTCCTCGTACCAGTCAGATGACATCGAACATAACTTGTCTTCCGATTCAGAATGCTCGTCTTCTTCTTCATCCGAGGATGGTGGTCGAAGGCCCAAGTGCCGACGCTATGGGCGGTCACGACGAGAATATAGGGTCTATTCTGGCACGAAGCATCGGCTTGAGCACCGTGGCGAAACGTATGGGCAGTGCTTAAAGATTCGGCAAGCACAAAATCGACGAGCAAGGAGGCGTAAAGAACGACGAAGTACCACCTACTCAAGCAGTTCGGAGAGCGAAAATACGAGCAAAAGCGAAGCTAGGTAGGTATGGTATAAACTGTTATACAAGTAGGTATAGTATAAAATGTTATTCTCTCAGGTTCGCCGTATGGTTTACTACTGTGACTTAACAAACGATTATTTTACGAACATGTAGCTTTGAGGACACGAACGGTGTTATGAATATTCGCCAAAAGACTTTCGTACAACCACTTCGTGTGCAGCACATGTTACCCCGAGCGGAAATTCCCACATGTGCATTATTTAATATAGCCATGGTACTTATTGCAGCGGAAGCGAGGACAGCAGTTCAACCGAATTGTCCAATAGTGATGAATCCTGTTCATCCGTAGAGAATGACGACCAATCGGTTACACGAGGTGATTCGCACCATCGTGATCGACAACGACGTCAGCACTCACCGATAAAAAGCAGACACCACTCAAAGCGAAGCCGACATAAAAGAAAAGAGAAGCGCAGAAATAGGAACAAAAAAAAGAGTCACTTCCAAAAGCACCACTAGCTTGAAGTGACATTTGGTTGAAGTGCCATAGAATGAAGGATGTTTATAATATGTAAAAATATACATAATGCGCCTGTTGTGACCTTTTTGGTCTTAAGAAGCCATTTTTTAGGCTGGTGTAAAACATGTTTTAGCCAAGCAAGATATGATCGACTGCACGTAATCCATGGGTAGATAGATTCGCATAAGCGTGACACATGAGCACCGGTATGTTTACGATATGAGTTACCTAACTTTTGGTGGTATCCGATGTACAAAGTTAATAAAATGACAACGTATAAATCGCTTTATACGGTTGAACCCAATGCATGTTAAGCATCGTCTTCTGAAGATGAGATGTGCGTTCATTGTCCTGAATGCACAATTAGCATTAATAACTACAGCAATAGCGGATCAATTGATCAAGACTTGTTAGTTAGATCAAATATTGTGCCGTTACTCCAAAACGGGAGTAACAAAAACATATTTCTCTACTGCTTTATTGAAGACAAGGGTAGCTTTAAATATTAGCTACTTCATATTTACACATACAGGTTTTCAGTCAGCTAGTTAATATTTAATACATACACGCACTGCGTAAGTTCTACTTAAAATTTAGTGTTCACCTTTATTTCTTTGTTTCATTATTAAATAATATCTCACACATTTGCTCTCTTGTTCACCTCCCATCGTTTTTCATGATCCTGCTTCATTTCCTATAATATATGATTTACGTAGACACACTTTAGCGAAATTGTATATATGAAAATCCTTCATTGTTTTTTTTAGTTCATCTTTACAAAAAGTGTGTAACTTTTCAACAAAACCCGAACAATTATTATCCGGTTGTTCATAGCGTACAAATATGAATCTACAGTTTGCACTGACGCTTATATCGAGGCAAAAATTAGTAATAAAGGATTAGTAGTAAATTACTTTCAAAACAGGCCTTGAAAATAACTTTCGCTGAATGCAAATCCATATCATATCGAAAAAACGCTTTTTCAATTACTACTGTCACTTCAACCCTTCTATCTCTGTACAGGTCAACGGTTTTATCGTAACAGCTCCTTCAATCATTATCAATTAACAAATGTGAATAGCACTCGTTCTCCCTCCCTCTTCTCCCATTCAGCCCGCGTATAGAAAAGGCGTTATCTTTGAGACAGATCGTTGTTGGCTATGCTGTGTAGCGAGCAGTTTGTGTCGCTGGACGAAGCCACGGCAAAATTTAGTTTACCAAACGGGCATCGCATATTAGCGTCGTTATCAGCGTCGGCGATGTTCTACCGCCAATGTTAAGAGGTTTTTGTGTCAACCTTCGCTCTTTCGCTCAGCAATGCCATGAAATCGTACGTCACACTATCCCTCACTGTTCCAATTTTCCATAATTTTTGTCGGTTCTAATCCCGCCGCCAGGGTCTTCTAATGAATTTTAGTTCTCTGTGCGATCTATTAGAGCTACTTTTTTTTTTAAGTTTTTACGCCCTCATTGTAAGATCTACTATGAGAACGAGACCATATATTTGATTTTCTTTTCTAACATGTATCCCTAGCGCAAGTTTGAGGAATAAGAGTTCTAAAATCTTTCGGGAAAGTGTTTTCGAGAACGCATAGTCCCTCCATGTTCTCCAAAATAAAAAAAAAAATAGAAAAGATGACACATCGCCGTAAGTGGGCGATGATCTCATTCTTTGCATCGACTTGACCGTTTCTTCAAGTTTAAATTTCCCTTGATAGAGGCAGCGTCTTCAATTTTCTGATTAACTGAATAACATTCGTTAAAAAACGACATCTTTTAGTTGAAGTTTTTGTACGTTTCTATCTACTCTTTTTTAGACTTCTTCTCTTTATCCTCTTTTTCACTGTCCTGATGATGAATGAAGACGAAACTAAAGACAAACAAGCCAAGCATCATCATTAACGCTGATAGAACGTAGGGGCGCGCAGCTGGAATGAAACGCTCGTATTGGGTATGTTGCAACGGGCGAACTGACACCTGCAATCACAGTAACAGTAAACACTGAATAGCATTAAAACACGACTCTTATCTTCGAATTATTACCAGATAAGCCGCTTAAGCATTGGACGGTGTTTCGGTTCAAGTATAAAACAGATTCCCTTGGACAATACTGGCGATGTTCCTATCTTAAAACGATTCTCGGTTCATACACGTTATTAGCCAGATCTCAGTTTAGTTACTTGACGGCACTGTAGTTTCTGATTGAAATTGGTTGTATCACACGGAATTAAAGTTTTAGTCTATAAAATCAAATAACTTTGCATTTTTCTCTACGATAGTTTCGAATAATAAGTGTCAGCTGTTTGCAATTGAAGTTTTTTTCGCAAAAATGACGTTGAAAATTTTCTCTATAATATTGAGTTGAGGTTCTACTAAAAAAAAGTAACATCCAAAGTAAGTGAGTAGACAGACCTGCGATGTAACGGCGAGACGATCGAACCCAGGCCGGCGGTGTTCAACACGAAATTGGAACACACCGTAAACGTCTGGTACGCGGAAGCTTACCTAAATAAAAATAAATAATATATATAGAAAATGTAAAAAATAATTTGTATATATATATATATATATATATATATATATATATATATATATATACATAGGCAGTTTATTTGTATTTCAGAAATGAGAAATTAAGATGAGTGTTTTCGAATACTAATAAATGGTCCACAAATCAATATGTTTTTACAGTTCGAACTAAGGATTTTAGATTATATAGCACTGTAACTACCCAGTGCAGTGCTGACTTTTTTGAAACAGTATAAAAAGATGAAAATTTACCTCATAGCGACCCTGTTTTGCATCGACGAGACGTAGATCAGTACGCACGAATGGGTCTATACGAACAAATTCCATTTGAATAGCAGGATGCGAATACGAGACCCATTTGCCTTCGGAACTTAGCGTCTCCACCTAAATTAATATTATTAGTAATAATTAGGAACAAGTACGAAGTAAAAACGAATATTCGTTTCAAATATGCATTCCAAACATTAAAACTTTGTTCATGAGTAGTTCCTAAATGACTGTACATCATAACCACCACATGACACATCATGAGCCACTGGAACCCATCAAACGAAAAACCAACTTTTATCGAGAAAGTGGCCTGATCCATGATCGTGTATGGTCCACCGTGGCTGATATCGGAATGGCGCAGGACACCTGTCTCTCGGAAAGCCCATGCAGCAAGAGCCTCGGCCAGACGCTTGTTCCCACTTTGCGTGGCCTTCACTCCCGAGGAACCAGAAACCGGTGCGCGTAGGTACTCATTGGAAAAGAATAAGAGAGATCCTGAGAAAACGACGCGAGCGTTGTTTCGTGCTTGAAGTGCTGCGATGAGGGATGTCGACTACGGTATTCAACACAGAAACATTTCAACTGATTTATACTTAAACCAAACCAGGTTTTATAAACGATAATCTAGTACTGAAGACGTTGATATTGAGCCTTTTATATAGTCTTATATTATCAGTCCGATATAGTACGCATCCAGGATTACCTATAGGCGGATAGTTATATACTAAATACTAAACGATGCGCAGACAATAAATCAAATCGCGTGTTTCAATTACCTCTCCGGCGACATTTGGCGGCTTCTCGTTTCGGATGACTGACCTGGGTGCGGAGCTAAACGTTGCTGGCGAACCTTTTAGAATATTGGTCACCAACGGATTTTTGCGATTGGTAATCAATCTGAATTAAAGAAAATTTGAATGTTTATTATAACAACGCCACTGTATCCCTTATATGTTACCATGTCTCAAATATCGATAATCGATTATGTTCAACTTAATCTACAGCCTTCAGCTTAATTTTGGACTTTGGTGTGGACTTCTACTTTTTTCGATGCTCTGTGTCACAAGTTCACTTCAGACGTTCATTCAAATTATGTACTATCAGCATTTAGAAGTCCTAAAATAGTCAGAAACCTATTCTGCATATGAAATGTAATCAGTACGTACCCGATGCCTTTGAAGAGAATAGGTGAGAATTCCTTTGCTGAAGAATCGGGGCCACCTAATATGGGTGGGATGTCAGCTAATTGTGTGACAGGATTAGCTACAATCGTCGTGTGGTCTCCGTTATCAAGACGAACATCATAAGAAAGATGATCGATAACCACGGCGCCCTCATCGTCCACCTCTAGGCCGCACTCAGCAGCAAGATCCTACAATATTTTTAATTTCTACATTATCCAATTACCAATTAGCACTACGCGTACCATGGTGTTTAAGCGTAAAGCTACTCGTATAAGATCTTACGTGTACACTGTATTTTGTTAATGGGCAGTCCACCTAAGAGTTGACAACCGGTTTTTAAATCTGCATCGACATTCATATCTGCATGCGCCAGTAACTATTTTATGAATAGAACGATTCAAATTTTCACTGAGTTGGAATATGCTGTAAACTTTATTAAATATAGAGGAAGACATTGATCGACGAACCTTCATGGCATCACCTGCGCGCGAGTTGACGGCTGCAAGGACATTTCCTCCATCGTCAATGAATTCCGTCAATGCTTGAATAGTAATACTGCCGCCAAACTCTACAAATAAAAATTAAGTGGCTGCTGAGGTCGTCAGAGGACATCGAAAAATTTGGTATGCATTCGTTATGGTTTCGTCAGGTTATAATAAAACTGCATAAATTCATTTTTAACTAAACCTAACCTACCTTCGGTCGTCGGAGAGAACAGAATAAGATGCTTATAGATGTATTCGCCATACTTTTTCAACGTTAGGGTGGCGTCATCAGCTTGTCTGAACGTTAACTTATAACCGCGAGCTGTGTACAATACCAAAACGGACGAAATAAGGTAAGCCAAGTAATTGTTCACTTTTTACCTCTAGTTAATTGTAGACGCTCCTTTACTCTCTAGTAAAAAACAAGATATTTCGTCAATGTTAAAATTAAGGTCATAAGTGAAAGTTTGGCCTACATCATCTTGCTTGTTTATGGTATCATATCCACGTTTCATATAAATCGACTATATATAGATCAACTCGATATTTTACCAAAATAAATAAAAATAACAAAAAAGTTACAAGTACAGAAATTCTCAGTTATTCAGCATATTATGGGTGACAAGGAATTCCGACGGCATCGAATATGCAACACTCAAAATGCACCTTAATATTTTTTATAGGTAGATAAACAGGCCTACGTAGGTCAAACGTGAACAGGCTAATCACAGGCTTTTCTGCTGTTTGATGTTGGTTTTCATGTTCGTCGGCGGGTTGGTGGACACAGGAAAATGTGTGTTTAGAAACAGGATTGTATAATATATTGAGGTTCGCCGAAGCACTTAGCAGTACAAGACACCACGGGTAGACGAAATACGCCTTCGCGTCGATGTTTCAATAGCAATAATAACTACACAACATTTGAAAAAGCTGAAAAAACAATTAAGTTCTTACCAGTAAGCAACGCGAAGAAATCAGAGTGGGTGTCCTTTGTCATAAGTGTGTCAAGCAACACTAGCGTATCTCCGGGCTGAGCATGTACCATATGAAATGAACACAGCATCAACCCTATGATTCCACGGGCCAGTACCAGAGGTAAATTCGATTTCGTGGAACACCCCATTGTTTGCCCTCGTATTCAAAACAGTTTCCTCAGGTACCCACAGAATCACGCGCTCTCACGCGTCAATCAGGTAACGCCAACAGCGGGATCTGCTCAGGTTCAGTTCGAACACGGCGAACACAGACATTAAATGCAGCGCCTTTATCAGAACTTTCTCCGGTCGCTTTAGGTGACGTTTAAAGGCGCCTAGGCACGCCAGCCAGTGCCACTTCTCTCAGTGAACCCACTGATTCTATTAAGGTGTCCACCGATGCCACCACCGTTCCTTTTTTCGTTCCTTCCGTTTTCAAAACGATAAGCCATGCAGCGCCGGCTTTCGTGTTTGCGTTCGCCAGCCAGTGACACGTTGCGTCGTCTGCTGATCGTTGGTTTTTGAGTCGCTGCACAATCGTCCCTTGCCGAAAATGCTAAACAAATAAAGCAGTTGATTACGAGAATATGTTGAATTAATAACGCAAAAAAGAGATTCTCGCACACTGGAAAGAATGAAAAGGATGATTTAATGTTTGGAAAACAGGAAAAAGAATTTGAAAAAATTATCTCTGGCTTGGCATTATTCCTTACTTCATCATCAAAAATATCCGTTTCCAATATACTTTCTTTTGAATAGGGATAGGAACATCTAATATTTGAGCTGAACACGATTGGCAACAGTTCTAATAATGTAAATCCTTTGAGAGGCCTATATAAACATGGTGTTGTGGGTTAAAGTTAGAAATTTCTCTTAAAACACCTGAGTTGCCGTAGTCTTTTTCCTATTATGAGAAATTAAAGAGTTGTTTACTTACTGACTTTTCGATTAGAAAGATTCTGATTACTTGAATTGAACGATGGAAAACGAGGTACTTTTCCCATGCTGCATTGATATTGTTTTATCGTGTTTTTTGCTGTTTGCAATGCAAAGTACCCAAATTCGATGTTATTCAGCCTGACAACTCGTCTGAAAGCAATAAAAACTGGAGATATTACTATTTAATTCCTGGATCAAAACGGTAACTTGAAGTACATCAAGGCTTGCAAAGCTTGCTTCTTTGTTGAAGGAATTTCTTGGTTTTTTTGCCTAGATAGACATATCCCTAGTAAACGTGATCGGAAATTCCCTCCAATTCTATCCAACCGACGTTTCATTAATGAACTTTACTAGGCGATACAGCGACAACTGTAAAAATTGAAATTTTCTTTATCGATATGTGGCTGCCTGCCAAAAATTAAAGGGTTCAAAATTCATTCATAGAGTTAATAGCGGGCATTTTCAAAATGTATTATTTCTAAGGCGTATTCTGTTTTTTTTTTCTCTAGAAAAGAGTCCTTGAAATAGGTTAGCTTCGATAGATGATGTACGTCTTATATTTTATACTTCTATTTGCTATTATTCCATTTAGCAGTACGGGTTTATTGTTAAACCATAAAAATAGCGGATCAAGGGAAAGGGCACCTGAAAACCACACGCGCCACAGCACCTAAGATACCTTCTTGAGTTCATTGGTGATGTGATCTTAACTTAATGATACTCGCGGAAAGAAACGTTGAATCCACATGCACGACTCAGCTCGTAAACGGAGCGAGTGAAGAAATATATGTGGAGCGTGTCAGTACTGGCGTGACAATTGCAAGATTTGCCGTGTTCGGACATAAGCAACCTGTAATATAAGGTTGCCCACACTGTGTTCGTGCCGCCCGACGTTCGAATTAAGATTTCTTGTTCAGCGATGTCTACCCCAGTACAGGATGTTTTGAAAAAGCAATTCCCCAATATTGACAGTGATCTCTTCGAGTACCTGACAGGTCTGTACGAAGTGCTGCTGTCGATAAATATGACGATTGATATCCTCACGTTTTGTTGAAAGATAAACGTGGCCCGGATATGTCTAGTGAAGGTTCGTCGTTCAGAGACGGCGCAGCGCTGTTGTAGAATGAAACTGCGAAGAGAAACGTGCGTTATTTCCATGAGTGCCCTCTTCGGTTATAGCGAAACACTGATAATTCATTCCGTAGATTTGCCGCTTCAAAAATTTATAGTACCAGATCAACCAATTCACACTTATCCAGTGCTTCGAGACGAAAATGCCAGAATACACGTCACTAACTGCTGTAGTTATTACTGAAAGTCGAAACAAAGTATGATAATATAGTCGATACACAGTGCATAGCTACGTGAGATACAGCAGTAACTAGGCTACAGTCAGTTAGCGGGTATAGCAATAAAGAAGATGTCACCTACACGATTATAATACTTACAATAGAGCACTTTAAACATTGTTCGAATAAATAAGGAAAACAAACGGTAGTTTCAGGTTATAAAATAGTGACTGGACAATGGGTAGTTATCACGATTATTGTTCCCACAATTCGTTTTAACTATCACAAATACTGCGCTCGTAAGATAACTTTATTTAGGTTCAGGTTTAATAGTGTCGTGAGTTAAATTTTTGAGCATTATAATGTCACCCGTTCAATCAAATGCGAAGTGAATTTTAGGTTAGAAGATTTTTACAATTTTTTTATTTTTATATTTTACATTATATTTACAAGAAACGCTACGCGATTTGGTGTACCTTCACTATTTTTTGTTCCAATCCCAGTCTTCCTTTTGCTCTAAAATTCTGTAGACACAGGCAGAATATATAATAAGGTCATTATTGATCTCGTCTCATTACGTTTCTCTTCTGCTTTCTTTTCTCATTGCGTATTTCGTTGCTTATTTATCAGTTCAATATGTCTAGGTCGATTAGAAATATTATTCTTACCTTTAGTTTGAAGATAATGAGAGTCTGGTGAAATCCTGGGGGTGTCTTTAATGCTGGTGCTCTGTACGCGGTTCTATTTCGGTGTTTACTTGTCGGTTTAGTATAAGCGTTAAGTTGCAGAACCCCATTCAAAACTTATATATATTTGATTTTATTTATTTTTTGGTATATTTGATTTGATTTGAGAGACTTCAGAAGTCTCTCGGCTAAAGATACAAGCTTCCTAGTAGAGGATCGAACTAGCTTTGAGCATTAATTTAGGCGGTGTGTACGCGGGTTACCTAAACATTTTATTTATAGTTGTCCAAAATTATATTATTCATAATTACTTGACTAAGTATTTGATTGCCTCACTTTCCTTAGGCGTGCTTTCCAGCGATGATTTGGGGTCGGTGGAGGACGTGCAGGAAGCCTGTGGTGAAATGCTTGCCGAACTCATTCGTTCTCACCGAGAGGTTCATCAGAAAACTGAGGAAGAGGCTGTTCGCAGTGTCTGTGAAGATCTTTTTCAGGCTATCGGGTATGTCACTTACGTATCGAAGTATTTTATACTAAAAACAACTATGTCAACTCACACCCTAATATAATGCTCTATTGTGTCCGGTGCCCCCAAAAAGGCAGTTCCTCCTATGTATTCAGCATGTATTGCATACGATTCATGCTAATCCATCAAGGTTCAAATTATTAGTAGAACTCGCTAAAATCGGAATTTTTTGACAGTAGACATGGATACCTGCAGAGATTGATACTTTAGTCTACATTGATACATTTTTACCTACTCTTAATAATGCTGTTAGCGGTGGCGGTGGACCGAATCATGGCAATGAGATCAACGGGAGCGGGAATAGTCCCCGTTTGCTCCAGTTGAGTTCTCCAGTGCACTTAGCGTCGACGCTAGGCCAAGCCACCGAAACTCGTCATGATGATACGGCTTCAATTTGGCTTGCTCAAAAGCATAACGTAACGGTAAGACAGATGATTTATCCGAAAATTTGCACTTACTTTATCATACTTTATTATAAGTTCCCCTTAAAGGCTAATTCCTATACAATACAATACGCATTTGCGTTTTCATATTTGAATCAATTGCTTATCGTATTCTAAGGACGGGGTCAAATTGATTTTTTTTATCAACTATGAACTGAAAGAGTCGGGTTGCGTTTTGCTGTCGACCATCTTCCAGACTGTAGATCAACGCAAGCTAGAAAAGGCGGAAGCGAAAATTCGAGCTAAACAGGAGCGTCGCGAGGGTTGTGATGTGCCTAGCGCATTACTAACTGCTACTTTGCAGGTAGATGAAATAGTTTTAAATGCAACAATTGCATGTTATCGCCAAATACCTAGTCACCTTTGTGCTCAATTTGTAAGCATTTTTCTAACAGGTTCTTTTCATCGATACGCTGTCCTCTTCGATAAAACATCAGCTAAATACATTACACCGACTATATCCATACTTATGTTATAGACAAATAAGGAGGCTACTGCAACCCAGGCCCTGTCACGGAAAGGACAACATTCCGAAGCTAGCTCGAAGTCGAGAGATATTCGAATTGAAAATTTTGACGTCAACATCGGAGACAAGTGTGTATTTCATTTCTTCAATTCTGTGAATAATCTGGTCGTTATTCTACACACAAAGAAAGCCTGCATGATACATACATATATACGTATGGTGTAATTATCCTATTTTATTCACAAGCGTGTTAACTTCATGTATTCTGATTATATCTGCGCCAGATGCAAGAAAACTCCTCCCTTACTTAAATAGTCTGTCTCTTTTAAATGCATTGAATAGCATTCTTATGATTGAACTCGTAGCGATTTAATTCATTCTAATTATATATAACGCCCGCATTACCTCTATAGCCGTTTATCAAACTGAATGTGTGTATACCTATATATAAATACGTCTTTATAAAATGTTTAGGTCACTGTTGCAAAATGCTACATTAGCTCTGACTTTTGGCCGACGTTTCGGTCTAGTGGGTCGGAACGGAATTGGAAAATCGACATTGCTTAAAATGATTTCTACGAGACAACTCTGCCTACCAGGTTAGTCGACAAGTCCGAAACCGGTTTACTCTTGCTTTAGTCTTGCATTTTCTAACATATGGTTCTCTTTCTTCCCTTAAAACGGGGTCAAATCACCATCAAACGTTCACCCTGCTATATATATATATATATATATATATATATATTAGTGCCCCGTCTAAATCTGGAGTTTCCATTACGAGTTGTTTCTGGGATTACATCTAAACAAAAACAGATTTTCAATGAAATTTTTGGAAGATGCTAGAAGTTTCTTTTGGCAGTCATGTTTTTCAATATAATTAGGATCCACCACAATACAGCTTCAACTCGGGACCTAAACAATCCACAACTCATCCTAACCGTTCTCCTTTTTTAGTCTATATATAGTTTTTTCTAGTAACCGTACATCAAGCAATACTGGTAATTAAGGTTTCGCTCATATACGCTACTACAAATATTTAACCGGAAACATTCTGGGCCAATAGCAGACCAAAATTCCCAAAGCTATAAGGACTCAAGACGGCCAAAAAATCTAGAATAGGTAGAAAGGCATACGGCCTCAAAGAAACTAGTCGTTAGAACTTGCTCAGATGACTCGGTAATTTATATTCTCTTCTTCAAAACGGCCGTTAATTCTTATATAAAAAATCCAAGTGTATTAAAATGGCTTTTGAGTTATTTTGAATTTTTAAATTTGTATGTATATAGTCCTATTGAGAATCTTCCAATATGCTTCTAAGAAATCTCCTTCGGATTTTTTAGGAGGTACATGGAAATCGGTAATAAGGTAGACGGTCAATTTCGGTTAAAGCTTTTCAGAGTTTTGGTGAGAGTTCATCTTTTGTGAAGACATTGCGTAAGAAGTAGTATTCTGAAGAATACTGAGAAGTAGAAGTTCTGAAAGTGACGTACGTTTTTCGTCATGATGAGCCTATTACGTTGTTCTAGCAACTAGCTTTCTTTAACGCCAAGAATAACGGATGTATTCCTGCTACATAGCCCACCAAAGTTTGATTGGGTCAAGACAGAGTACTTTATATATATATAAGCCTGTTTCATTGTTGATTGATTTAACCGACCTCATCACTTAATGTCACGCGATTTCGATTACATTACCCTTTGAGTTATTTCATTATTCTAGTATGATACGTACGAGTTTGATTCGCTTTATGTATAGCCTAACATAAATTATAGTTATAATAGAAGCTTTCACATCTGTTATTCCGACTACAACTCTTCTAAAATCCTGTAGCAACAATCTCGCTAGTGTTACAGAAACTATTTTTCGGATTCAGCCAATTTACTACCTTGGTTCAGACACTTTGTTACATTACATCCTAGCGTGCGACTGTTCACATTCAACATAACCTACAAGTATTATACAGTTATTCTGTAACAGTGATTTCATTACTTCATTGAATTTTTTCTTCTCAATTTTAATCTCAACTATTCCGTCCTTTCATTGTTGTTTATCATCAACGTGTTCTAATACTCGATTTATATCACACTCAACCTCTCAAACATATACCATTGCTCAATTGCAGACCAAAACCTTTACAGATGCCCGGTTACTATTCTTCTCCTATAATCGTTCGGTTTCAGTGATCAGTTTATTTTTCATCTAGTGAATTGGTGACCCTCTTACAGTTATATCTGTTACTTTGTTGAAGGACCAATAGGTCATTTTTGTTAGATATAATAGATAGTTAGGCCTCTCGATTGAAATGTCGGCACTACTCAAGGAAATAATTAAGCTTGAATTGAAAACTGCTGACATAAACCCGAACAAACCAACTTAATTTTACTTGTACATTTTAAGTTAACCTACGGTCGTGCACGCAAAGCTTGTCTAAGGCTTTACCTAGCCCAAATTCCGTATCCTTCTACAGTTATTTCTGCCTTAATGTTTAAGTGTTGGCGAGATATTATTAATAATTGTCTCGTTTTCTTAGTTCATTAAATTCTATTACTCGGAAAAGTGTTCATCTCCAATCGTGAGTATTAGTTAGGTGATTAGACAGTTGGTACTTCACCAACCATCTTGTAAACTGGCCAAATGAACTTGACGACCATCTATGGAAAAGGAAATTACTTCCCGAAAAAACGCCCATCCCACTAACGAATATAGTTCATGTTTCGAGAGTGTGTTTTACATTTTATCAATGCCTAACAGTATTGACAAAAGTCACCATTTTACGACTGCATTGAATAAATGCGAACAGCTACTTTGTTATACTGAAAAAAGACAAGTAGCAATTAAACGTAAATTCTTGTTACGATTTCAATAGTCGTCGAAGAAATTCTCTAAATATTTTTGACTTGCCTAAATTATTATGGAATTACTCTATGGAATGAAGAAGCCACCCTGAAGTAAAGAAATTGAATCACATACTGAGATAGTCCGTACTTCATCAACAAATTGGTAAATTAACCTAATTAGCATCACACCCCCTATGGGGAAAAGAAACTATCCCGGAAAAAGGTTTCATCCGTTTGAGATACGGAGAGTCTTAAAAAATGTATAAATTAGTTTAATTGAATCGTTCTTTTCGACAGTAAACTGTGTATACAATTCTTAACCCTATGCATAAACTGAAATGATTTGTATCTCATTAATGCCTAATAATTTGAGTAAGAATCACCATATTGTTATAAAAGTAGTGTAATCATGCGTGGGATAGGGAAGACGGAAGCGCGAGGGGGTTAAGGTTCCCTGGTTAAATTCAGGTTGAGAGCGTGCAAATTAATGCGGTCTTGTGCTTGTGAACTTGTCAATGAAGTGGACTATCAACCTTTACAGTTATAAATGGAGAAAAAGTGAAACATCGAAAGTTTTCCTGAGATTTAGCGTTGAGTTCGTTTCATAATGTTTGAGAAAACTTTCCAACAAACATCTTACAAGTTCTTAACGATTATCGAGCAAACCACAAAAAAGGGTTTACCTCCAATAGGAGAAATAGTTCGCGAAAAAAATATTCATTTTATCCAAAAAATGTACAGTGATGGTTCATATTTCATTAACCATTTCGCAAATGGTTATTACGCTCTGTATGAACAAAAATTGTCTCGGGGAAAAGTACTCATATAATAGAAGAACAGGAAGTATCACGCACAGTTAATTTCAGAATAAAACTTTAGCTTAATGTCAGCATTTTACGCGATCACTTTGGATCGGACAAGTTAACGAATTCAAATTTCGTTATATGTATGAAGTTCTATATAGCACAAAAATTGTATTATTTATTATTAATTTTATTAATAAACATATACTAATCCGATACGTGTCACTGGTACTGTTCGGTTTCAGCTCATGTAACTGTTTTACACGTAGAACAGGAGGTTGTTGGTGATGGCACTAAAGCGCTTGATAGCGTCTTAGAATGCGATGAAGAACGACAAAGGCTGTTGGCAGAGGAGAAGAAGCTCAGTTCGAGCGGGTGCGTATTCTGAATGACGTGACCAGGTGGACATGAGCGGGGCAGAGAAGGAAATGTAGTATGGAGTTAGTGAATCATGCAGGCGCGTTTGTGGTGAATCGAACAAGACGTGCAATTTTAGTTATAATCAGGATCACAGTATTATATTTTCAATGCATTTTCGTCGTTACATAAGGTCTGTAGAAAGTAGTTGTTTCATAATGGGTGGTGTCTAGAGCAACCTTTGATTACTATTTCTATTTGCAGGACAAATGATGCACGCCTTTCTGAAATTTATGCGCGTTTACAAGAGATCGACGCCGAGTCTGCCCCCGCACGTGCCTCCGTTATTCTTGCTGGTCTCGGCTTTACTCCGGAAATGCAGGTATGTCTGATTTCTATATTTTTTCTCACTTCTCTGTATTTGCTTGATTTAATTATTGCGTAGATTGTTAAGCTCGACTATAGGCCTGTGTTTGTGTACGGGTGTGTGTTTTGAAAATTGGCGGGTTTTTCCTTAAGGTCTTGTTCTATGGTTTCAGAAAAAGGCGACAAGAGAATTTTCCGGAGGTTGGCGAATGAGGATAGCATTAGCGCGGGCATTATTTACGAAACCTGACTTATTATTACTTGACGAACCAACGAACATGCTTGATATGAAAGCTATTATCTGGTTAGAAAACTATCTCAAGGTAAATTCTTTCTCGCATACCTCCAAGTTATGCACATTCCGACTTCCGTTTTTGTCGACAAGGAAGTCTTAGGAGGAAGAAATCGTGAATATTTGTACATAGGCACATTTAGGAATCTATATTTATTGTTAGCATTATTTTTATTTGAGAACAAATATAGCAATATTTTTATTCAGCCATGTGACCACCTCAGTTGATTTGTGTAAACCGGATATATTTATATGTAGATCATATTACTTTTTCATTTTTACAACTATTGCATTATCAAGTTAACACGTGTATTCTCTGATTACAGGGATGGGAGAGCACACTCTTGGTTGTATCTCACGATCGGCAATTCCTCGACGAGGTTCCCACAGATATTATCCATTTCCACAACTCTATCCTCGAATCGTACCGAGGTGAATATTGTCTATATTCTAGTCCGACAATTTTTTCATTTAACCCCTAATTGTGCTTTCAGAAATCATGTGTCGTAGTTCAAGAAGGGGCTGGATTCATGATGAAACGTTAGTTATCGTATAATCTGTATCCGTGATCTTGACTTCTGAATCCTAAAATATCCCAAAGGTAAATATCCAAAGGCAGTCTTGTCTTTATTCCGATAGGAAATTACACAGACTTCGTGAAGACTGCAGCAGATCGCTTATTGAGCCAACAACGTGAGTATGAAGCTCAAATGACGCATCGCAAGCACGTACAGGTGTTCATCGACAAGTTCCGCTATAACGCTAATAGAGCTGTACTCGTACAAAGTAAAATCAAGATGCTGGAAAAGCTACCTGAGCTGAAACCGGTCCAAAAGGAAGCACCAGTTGTGCTGCGTTTTCCTGAACCAGAAGCGCTTTTCCCAATCTTATTACAATTGGACGGAGTTCACTATTCTTATGGCGAAGGCCAAAGAACTGTGCTGACTAATGTCGATCTTTCGGCAAGTATGCAAAGCCGCATCTGCATCGTCGGAGATAATGGAGCTGGTAAGATCGTCTGCGTAATTGACTCATGATCATCCATATTGTCATTATATAATAATTAAAATTAACTATCTTTTCTATATTCGAATACGAGCTATTGCACACCGTAGGCCTGTAGAAGAGGTTCGTATCACAACTAGCCTGTTTGTTTCTGTCAAGGTAAAACAACCCTGCTGAAATTAGTGAACGGAGATTATGAGCCTACGAAGGGTGTTCGACAAGCGCATAGAAATTTGGTTATTGGGTACTTCAGTCAACATCATGTAGATGGTCTTGACATGGACGTGTCGTCTGTGGAGCTCCTTGCAAGACGATTTCCCGGTGAGTTCACTCGAGTTTATTTCATGCATTCCGCACAGAAAAATATGGAACACAAAGTTCTAATGTTCAATTTGATGTTTCTAGACATTTCCGCCAACTAGATCCTATTATCTTTTACATGAGCCTTATATGTTAAATATCTTCAATTCTGTGCATCCTAACCTGCAGGAAAAACCAGCGAGCATTATCGTAGCCAGCTAGGCCAGTTCGGCATATCAGGAGAGCTTGCCCTCCAGCCCATAGCAACTCTGTCTGGCGGGCAAAAAAGTCGCGTGGCTTTTGCAGTTCTTGCTATGTCTGTTCCTCATTTACTAGTTCTCGATGAACCTACGAATCATCTTGATATCGAGAGCATCGATGCGTTAGCTAAGTTAGTATAGCTGATTTCGTTCAATAGGTAAAAAAATATATACAGCGAGATCTGCTCTTAACGTTCATTTACGAAAATGATTACGTACCTCTCTGAACACACTTTATTTCAACATTTCACCCTTTAGTGTTTCATGCATGCACATTTGTACACCCTAATCATGATCTGTTTCAATATGTAATCGGTTTTAAAGAATATTGTTAGAGTTAATTGGCTTTATAATACTGTTTCTCTAGGTGTTTGCAGGTGTTTAAGGGTGGAGTAATTTTGGTCAGTCATGACGAGCGCCTGGTTAAATCAGTATGCAAAGAGTTATGGGTGTGTGCCGGGGGAACCGTGACCAGCATCGAGGGAGGTTTTGAAGAGTACCGCAGCCGGGTTCAGAGGGAACTCGAAGCGCAGTGAATTATACGCAGCTGTTGTCTTAAACGTTTCCCAAGACAGAGCAACTTCGTTGCTGTTGATTTGCTTTAAGCTCTTAACTCGTTACGAACAGTAATTATTTCCTTACGAATACCCATGGAAACTGATACTCTGTTATCGCATTTGGACTAGCTCTAGCTGCAGTTCCAACAAGTAAGGTTCGTGTTCCATGATTAATCGCACTACACGCGATTAAGTCAATGACAATTTTCAGATGCGACGTTCCTCTAAAGTCAAGATTGACTTGCACTGCGGGAACTTCAACGTGATCATGTCGTTAGTAGCACGCTACTTTAGCAGTGCACAATGGCAGCTTCATATTTGTTAGTCTTCAAGCTGAACTGATGTCAAAGTACCCCTAGATGTGACTGGGTTGTCAAAACAGTCAAGCCAAAGTTATAATCTGTCATTGTATACCTTATTCGTCAACTAAGGGTATATATATACTAACGCCTCTGCATGAACGTAGACACGTATCTATACAGAAATGCGAAACGAACAAATGATTTACGGAAACAAGTCTCTCTGTATAAACTAACATTTGCAAAAACGATGCATTAGCATTTTAGTGATGAACATGCATATGAATGTCAAGCAGTGGGTACAATTGTGGCGAGTTTGGTCTGGATAATACCCGTCACAGATTTAAGTCTAACACATTTTGCTGTGGGTGCAGTTGCAGTTCTTCTGATATGGTTGAATAAATGATATTTGTATCTAAACTTTAATATAGTGCAATTGGCACGACGTAGATTTGACGTCGCCACCACGTTGTGGTTCGTCGATTGGCAACAAATTTTCCAATCTCTTTTGTTCTCCGTCCGTCATTTCGCTCTTTCATTGGCCGCACAGGTCGTCATGAAAGATATTAACTTCCGCCCAATGTTTTTGCCCGATTTGCGAAATCAATATTGTTTTATTGTTGTCATAATCGTACGACAGTACAGTAGTATTGGGCTCGAGCGAAACAAGAAAATCAAAAATGGCAAAGTACACACTGCCTGTATAAGTAATAATAAAAACGTTATCGGTTTTGTTATATTTCTTAAAAATATCTATCTAAGTGTTGTCTGAGCACTTGATTACTCTGCACAGGTTAATCTCTTTTCTAGCTCAGAGAAACTGATAGCAACGATAGACAGGGTGACAGCGTGAGTCGGCGTGCTCACCAGAAGTAAGGCAGTAGTATAATTCCATCCCACTACCATTCGCCGTATCAATGTAGTGCATTAGTCGGCTTCAGTGCCGTGTATCATTGGCTCCCTGGCAGGTAGAGTATGTAAGTGCCTGTGCACAGATAATACAGGTGCACTTGTTTTTGCGTGGCTAATGAATTCCGAGAAGAATGATGAGACATTTTAAACGGCATGTTCTGTTATTTGTCCGATCATGTCGAGGTCTAGGAAGCTCCCAAATAAAGACCAACAGATATTTTTCACGTTGAATTGGACGGAACCGTATGTCACTCGATAACAGGAAAATAGGTGGAATGGAATAGAGCTAATAAATATTTTCGTTAATATACATGCTTCCTTGTTTTTGCTTCGTTTCGGTAGGAGTTGATGCTTGTTTAGTTGTTCGTTAGTACTACATATGTACGTATATGAAATTGTCCGGAGCCGTTTATAGGTCGAAAAAGTTGATGAAACGAGTTATCATATAAGAAAACAAAAATTATATGAACTCTACGACTATTCTTGCTGCATTCATCTTTACTGCTTCTTCCTTTTTCAGTGTTTCAGCGTTCAGTGTTCTTATTATGACTTGGTAACATGTTTTTTAACGAAGTTCATCTTGAGCTGACATAGAGTGCATTGTTTATATTGTTTTGCTCTCCCGCCTGATTCTTTGTGGGTTAGGTTCGAACACGAACTTACAAAATCCCGTTATTGAAGTTTCTACATCGGCAACGAACTGTTTTCTTCTTATTCACTTCTATATGCTTCACTAGTGCTATCCTTTTCGAGAAACAGAATTTTAATCAGTAAGCGCTGATTCTTAATATAGCGGTACCTAAACTCATCATCATCTGACGATACTTAATCAGCTTGTAGTCGGGCACAGCCAAGAATTTAAAATGATTATTCACCAAAATTTTGTCTACTAGTATTCTATGATTGGAAGGTTAGTCTAATTGTTCGCGCTGATACCATAATAGTATATTACTACTATTATTACTATTAGACTACTATTAGACATGTACATATTAATATTATTAGCTCTAGTGTCTAATGATGTTAATGCGTACCGTGGCAGGAATTCGGTATATAGGCGAAGAGCGCAAAATCTGCGGTTATTATTACTTAACTTGCATTGGCGAGTCAGTAAAATGTCGGTTTTACTACTGGAAGTGTAACTTTGCCAGTGAATTGTGATCCAATAAGGTCAAACGCTTAGTATTCCCTGGTAAAAACAGATAAGTAATCATCGTTACGTTCTTACGACACTAATAATTTTAGTTTATGCATTGTTAAGACAAACCATAATCGGCTATGAAACGATAAAGAATTGAATAATAGTGTTTTTGAAAATGAAAAAGAAAAGGATTATATTCTCGCCGACGAAAGCAAGACATTTTTTACGCAGTTCTGTTCATCGGGCAATAAGTAATTTGTCCTGTTCCTGGTGTATCTATAGAGGTACACCATAAAAAACGATCAAAAGTTACCGTATCGTTCTCGAGGTTCTTGTCGAGAGTTCCTGTAAGCCCTATTAGAGTCGGTTAATCGGTACTAATTAGAATCGGTTTTCTCTACGAATTCGAGTCCTGGCCTTCAAAGGAGAAGGGGGAGTTTTTCAATAATGATATAAGCATTAAAGTTTTATAGAGCTTTATGTTCTTTCAAAATGTATTAGACAGCTTTTGGACAGCACTGCTAGTTTTAATTTTTAACGAAATATGTGCAGCAAGCCTCCTCACATCAAAGGGGTACATCCTTAACTTAATCACACAAAGTAAACTTTCGTATTCGTAGGGCGTATTTTCTTGTGCTAACTCAAAAAGATAATTTGCTATATTACTTATGCACTTTTTGTACTTACTTAAGCGAAACGACGAGGAAGTGCACACGGATAGAGTTCGTTAAAATATTTGTTACTTTGCACCTTGCCATAGACTAACTGCGTCCGAAATATCGCATGTTAGTTCAGTTTGCTATTTGTCTATGTGTAACTATTCACTTAATGGAGACTGAAGCTGAGTAGACTCAGATGAGATGGACAATAAGCAATGTGTTAATAGACATCAGATGCTTTCGCCAATGCGTTAAGAAAGGACGGATTTCGCTGATGTTGGATTGTTTGGGTATAAAAAGCCTCGGTTCAAATTTCAGGATGAGCCCAAGTTCTGGTATTTCTCTCTGCTGTATTGGGCTATACTCAAAACCATTTGTGCTGAAGGAATTAAGTCGCGTGAATTGTACGCTGTCACAGTCTCAGACGCTTACGCTTCTTAGAGCTTCTTTTGTTCTTGTATATTTATAACAAACATATGATAAACTTGAGGAATAAGCAGATTTATCATAATTTCGAAATTATTTTCAGTACCCGTTTTTCGGGCGCACTACTGTAACTACAAGTAACGGAGGGTAGTATACCTTTGCACGGTTCGGATATTCAGGCGCAAACGTCGTGAAGCATGGTGCAAAGAATAGTGGACTTTTTAAAAAGCTAAATAAATGATAAAATAATGCTGAGATACAGGCTGTATCAGAAATTACTTGATTATCGAAAATGTTTCCTATTTTCTCTAAATGTTCAGGTAGGTTTACAAAGAGCGCTATACACCTTGGTGTATTAAGAGTCCTTAAATGATTGTTACATTCCCACAACTTCTGCTGATAACAGATGCGCGTGTGAATTGTTTATAAAAAAATGGCATATTTCTTTCATGATACGTATTTAAAGAAAATAAGGTTCCACCGAGATTTGAACTCGGATCGCTGGATTCAAAGTCCAGAGTGCTAACCATTACACCATGGAACCACGCTTACCTAGATGTCAAAAGGGCTATATCCGACGACAGAGTGACCTCTTATTATTATTATTAAGCATGTAGAAATTAAAAAAAATTGTTCTTTTTAAGTCTTTTATGGAACGCTAGTGTTATCGAAAGGCCTAAATTAGACATTGTGTGTAAATATTTTTCTCTCTCTCCCTCTCTCTCTCTCTTACCTTACCTTACTATATATATATATATATATATAGTTGACCTTACTATATATATATATAGTATATACTATATAGTAAGGTCAACTACGGACAATAATAACAAGAAATTTGTGATCATGTTGTACGGTGACCGTGATATACAGCATCGTCACCATGGTCATGAAAAACGGTTCCGTACAGCAGCATCAAGCAACTTTTTGGTCGCGTGATTACCTGTGAATCTAACGTTCCAATAACGTAAGTTGGCAAGTTGCAACCATCAAGTATCCGGCGAGGATACTGTATGTTCGATTATTACATCGTGTATCTTTATTAGTATACAGCATAACGACTATCTACTGTAATGCTGTAACTGTCACAGCATTCGTCTTATAAAGCGCTGCTTTAAAAAAACGCGCCATCAAAATTTAAATTTAGGTATTTGATTCCTTTCTAAGGTACCCCGTCGAATTATTTTAGTGCTAAAAAGCAAACTCTAAAAATATTTGGTAGCAAACATTTTTCGTACGTAGTGCATATGCGTTCATGGCAAATTTCGTGGCCAAGTCGACCACCTTTCAGCGGCACCGATTCATTAATATACACAAAATGAAGCAAAAATTGATTGAAAACTAATATAATGTATATATGTAAAGGCCGTGAGGAGAACAGAGTTCGGCGCGCGGATTTTTTTTATTACAGTCTTCACACGACTCCGCTTATCAATAACGCGCAACGAAAATAATTCTGTGAAAAAAGTAAGCTTGTGCTACAAGAAGAACATTTGCCCCCAACTATGGCCCTAATACTCGGAGAAATATCTTATGGGCAAAATATGATAAATAGGCTAAATGAACGAGGCCAACTTTACGGGAGCGAATTCTCCTAAACGATACTCACTTATAAGTGACTGAGGTGTGGAGCGCGAGGACAGCTGGTGCTATATGTTAACCCAAGTGCAATTCAATGAAATAATTTTAAATCCAAGATGAAACTGCAGAAAGTGAAGTGATTTTTCTATTGCATTGTAACTGTAATATTACCGCTTTCATGTTAACGCAACCATTTTATTATGCAGTAAATACAGAATGCTCTTCCTTGTAAAGACTTTAGGGCTGTGCCATAAACTACCAGTGTTTAAGCTCCTTCGGAACGTCTTCAATCGCGACCTCAAGGCGGTGCAACCATTTTTTTTGAGTAGAAAACAGATTTTACGCACTTTTCGCGCAGACTCTTATTTTATCGTTTGCGTGTCTAAGGGTAAGATTTAAATTCTGCTGCTTTGTGGCATAGCACAAAATGTTGGCGATAGGGGGGGGGTATTGGCATCGTTATTCATTTTAAAGTAATCCCCCATTTTAAATTCCGGCCCTGCTTAGGTGAAAACAAGAACCGCCAAGTAAATAAGCGCAAATAGTAGCAAAAGGAGGTAATTAAATTTACTAAGAAATAAGTAAGCAAACAATAAATTTGGCTTATTCTACAAGGAGCACAACGTAATGAAATGAATGCAGTACGTAATAGTGCTACTCTTCGATTATCGATTTTGGGAACAAAGCGTTATTCAACTCATCAAAATTCTCGGTTACGTAGATAGATTATTGTCTCTTTAGGTACCATGTACAAAGCAGTGAGGGCATGATACAGGGAGGGCATGATGATCTCAAAAAACACTACTGTCTACCACTGGCTTAACATCACGTATTGCTTAACAAGTTATCAGATAAAGCTCGTATCTTTGCTGCTTGTACACTGGACCAAATTGTTCTAGCCTACGGAGCATCTTAGCGCTTGCTGGCGCCCTTAAAAGTTAGAAGCATCTGTAAGTAACAATTATGATTACATTTATAGTACAAATATGGAACGGTGAACGGTATCATGGTTTAATAGTTGAGGCTCGACAAAAACGAAACTGGAGAAGTAATTGATCAAAACGGGATCGGCTAGTTCGTTGCGTACAATTGTCGTTCTTGTTGTTTTGCCGACCAAGCTGTATCAGGTTAGGTCTTTATATAACTGAGTTGTTGGTATTATTGTTGTTGTTGCTGTTCACTTGTAGTCCAGCAGTGAACCGAATCTTGGCAAAGCACGACTGATAACATCGCGAGGTCGTAATGGCGTATCTTGGAGGCTATGGCGACTATGACCAAGACGCGTGCCCCGCGTGCGTGAACGAATGTCATCAGAGTGACCCGTACATGTTGCTTCGTGGCGGGCAGAATCCTGTAGCACAATCGCAATTTCTACCCGGATTAATATCGCCCACTTATATTGTACCCCTTGTGGGGTGGCTTCTGGGTTTCGTTAGTGGCGTGGTTGCTATAAAGTTGATGTCAGCTCACGAATCTGAGATCGCCGAGTATATACAGTCGCCTATATCGCCGTTTTCGTCTGATCTGCAGCAGCAGCAGCAGCAGCAGCAGCAGCAGCAACAACCGTGTTGCGGATGTCATATCCCAAAGTGTTACTCATAATCTCAGAAAGCGAGATTTCGAATTTTCTCTCGTCTCAAGCAAACAAATGCAATAAATAACGTCTTGATTATGTTATGTTAGCCATAGCCGATATGGATAGTATATCGATGTTATTGCTCGGTATCTTTAATTGTACCATTATTGGCACCCGTGTGTGTGCTTTCGTAGAGTCAAACTTAGCGTGCTTTATTTTACATACATTGTCGAGGCGGTGGAACGCGTACTGTCACGAGAGCATAATGCCATACTCTTAAAACATCTGCAGTCTTCTGAAAAGTGATCGGTCATTGGCGCTATTTAACTAGGGAGTGGAAGAAAGATTTTGTATTTACGCGCCACATTGCTTCCTTCCGAGAAGCACAATTTTAGAGAAGCATCATCATCATCATCATCGTCGTCGTCATCGTTTAGTCAGTAGATCCGTTTAAGACTCGTCTCGAGCAAATTTAATCTAAGAGCAAGTTTAATCCAAAGTGCAAGTTTAATCTAAAGTTTAAAGTCAGCTTGCTCCGGCAGCAGTGATGCAATTAATTTGGCTGTGCATCCTCTGCTTGTGCCTAATATCATTAAGTTCGATGTGACAAGAATTGTCTGTGTAAATCGCGAGCAGGTTCGTACGCGTAGCAAAAAACGCAAGAACACCATTACGCAATAACGTGACTACCGTTTGGAGATATTTAGGATGACGTTGGGTCATTTAGCCCATTCTTTAGCACCGCCGTGGAGCTGATTCACGTCGGCCGCCCGTAATTGCCACCAGTGAAACAGCGCTACCAGAGCGGACAACGGAATATCATTGACGGTGCGATGCTGCGAGCGGATGTTGCGTTACGAAGTGGAGCCGAACTTCACTTCCGTCTGACGGCAGCGTCCGGCCACCGACCGTTGCCGGGTTCAACGGCCTGTTGCTATCGGCCCTTAATAGCTCAGTTGAGGGGTATAATGTATAGAAAAATCTATCGCGGCCAAGCAACTTTCATTGGGTTGCTTGTTTGGCATGATTTTCACAAGTTGCGATGATTACCGCTTGGATTAAAGGCATGCTAATACTATCGCAATATAAGCAGCACCAGCGGCAAGTGCATTACGAGCTGCAAACCGCAGCTATACCTCAAACGGACACAACAGTCAAGGGACTGTATGGGACTCGATGTAAAACGAGGGCAGGGCAACGGTTGATGTTCAACCAATGTATAAAATTATTTTTATGCTACGTGTGTGTAAAAAAAAATAGGTCTAGAATTATATTACGAAAATGTATTAGTGTTAATGGTTTGGAGCATGTATCCGTGCTGACATATAGACAACTTTTTCTATCTTGCTTAAGTTGGAAGTCCTCGGGAGCGTAGCTACAAGTGTTGAAGGTTAGAGAAAAAAGTTGTAAAATTAGGTAGCGGAGGGTGGACTCAGGAACTAAATCCCATACAGTGGGTGTTATTGCTGGATAAAGGAGAGAAATAACAATTTTGATATTTATCAGCGAATGGTCAACTATGATACGCCTTTATTTTTGTTGCACTCTACGAAATCTGTTCATACTGAGTGCTTACTGCTAGCATCAATTGCATTATAATGAAGTCACAAAGCCTTAGGTTAGAGCGATGATTGATTTTTTTTGTTTATATTTGCTGTTCGAATCCTTACAAATGCGTGCAGAAATAATGATAAAAGCTGTTAATTACAATAACAAATCCATGCAATATATTTATCATATATATAAAAAAAACATGAAGTTATCAATGATAACTTCATGTTTTTTTTTTGATAACTTATTTATACTTTTGATACTTACTATTTTGATAACTTATTTATAGGTTATAGTAAACCTTGAGAACCTATTTAGGACTGTCAATAACACTCGTTGCTTCGAAATTTAATTGAAGATGATTTTTATATCCGTTGACAATCAGTACCTATCAGTTATACTGGACAACCTGGACGTAAGCAACTTCGAAATGACACCAGCAAAAACAACGGAATGCATTTACATAGATCTTTTTTTAATACAAGCTTTATTTTTACAAGCTAGGATTTTAGCTGAATGCAACATTATTAGGGTAGGCTTTTTTTAGCTTACTTCAAGGTGCATATCGGCTTCACAAGATACGTATTTTTTGTACACGTCTGGCCTCGCCTTTGAAATGACGGGACGGATATTTTCCATAAGTTGGTCTGTCAATCGTAAATCGTAGAATAACTTGCATTTCGGATACCTCCATAAAAGCGGAGTTGTGCCACGTCAGCTGGGGGGGGGGGGGGGCATTCAATGTCACCCCGGCTAAAGATCAATTGCTTACTGAAGTAATTCCTGAATAATGCGATTGTGAGGTGTGTGGAGAGATGGACCATCCTGCGCAAACTGCATGTCCTGCAAACGATTTGTACAAGAAACCCTAGGACCATTTTCTAATAGTGAACAGGGTTTACAAACAGGTTAATGACGGCTCCGGCTTGCGTACCGTACCAGTTGATGCTTTTTTGGGGATCTAAAGCCTCTTTGTAGACTGCCCGGAGTTTCTTTGTCTAGGACAATACATATGGTAGACATACTTAGCGCAAGTGTTCATAGCACCGCCATTTTAGAAATAGGTCTAAATGTATATTAAAAGTGGTCAAAAAGTAAGTGAAGCGAGTGACTACCATCAAGAAGCCCGCTTTATTTATGTTGTATTAAAATCTTAAATATCAACTTTGCGATACAGAAGAACTAAATACATTTAGTTATCTTCTGTTGGCATCATTTGAAAGTCGTTCCCGTCGAGAGGGTCGCCCCTGTATGTGAAAACATACAGTCGAGATGAGAACATTGCGGAGGCTATTAGTTCTACTAGTTTGCTGTGTAGTCCACAATAGGTCTTCCGGATCCTTTAGTTTGGATAATCTTCTAATAAATCTGGAGAAGTCAGGACGCATTTGTTTTTTTATTGTGAATCCTAGAATGCATACTGCAACAATAAAGTTGTCGGTCTTTCTTCAGCGATATATATATATATATATATATATATATATATATATATACACCTTGGCTATATTTTTCATGCTTTCAGAGCTAAGTTTTTCATAACCTACAGTAACGACATAATTATAACTCTGTAATCGTAATTTACCGTAATGATCATAACACCACGCTGGCGGTGTTAGTCATAGATGTTTGAGCTGCGATCCAGACATAGATTACAATGCATCGCAACAACTAACAGCCAAAAAAAAACTTGGAACATAGAGAATACTGATAAGTGATTCGTAAACTGGAATCTCGAGTTACTAAAACCCGCGTTCTGCAAATTCGAAGGTTCGAAGACGTTCACCCTATCAGCGCATTGTGGGGTCGATATGTACATTGTTGAACAAAGCATGGGCCATCTAGGCTTGAAAGCTTGTCTGGCGCCTGTGTCTACCACTGTCAAGCTCTGGCGGCGACGTGATTTCATAGTGGACGCACGAAACTGTGCTGCCATGATAATCGTAGCTAAAGAGTACACGGCCGAGCTGGTCTCTATCTCAACGTTGGGGGATTATTAAAGATAATAACGAATTCATTTTAGCTTTACTAGCTGTTACTGTAGTTGTCGTTGCTAAAGATCTTAGATAAATAAGCCCAGCAAGAACCGCTGCGACTAGACCCTTAGTATAAATCTCGTTGATGCTATACGTAAGAAACTGATTCCAAAAACTTGTTCACATGAAAAAAGCTAAAAATACAATGTAAAACGATGTTCTCAGAAGAGAATGGGCGCCGGTGATTATAGTAAACAAGTCTTGATCTTCTACGACTACCGGCTGTGTGACACCCGCGCTGCGCTGGCGCAGGTCAAAGTCATCGCCTCCGTCGGTACCAATAATAGCAGTTATGTATGGGTCGCTTGCTGGAAACAGAATTAACTCTCATCATCGTTGAAAGTCCTTGGTGAGCTGCAAGAAATCTCGCCTGAAATTACCTAATCGTTTGTAGTGACCTATGGATCAAGCCCTATGGATCCTTTGGATTGCACGACAGCTCTCCGGAAGACTCTGAAGAATTTCAACTGCTGGATTTTAAACCCCTGACCCTCATAGATCACAACAGAAGTTTTTGCGCGATAAACGTTGAACTAAATAGAATAGACCTACCCGGGGATAATAACTGGTTTCAGAATGGAGCCCACATGGCAGCGCACGTAGTGAACTCCGTTGAAATTCCTGGGCTTGCCTTGACATGAAAACTGTTTTAAGGCATCCGAATTTAAAGATTCTTTTTCCGTCGTGGGTATGAAAAAATTGCAGTGCTCGACCAGTATGATATCGAAGCTTTCGCCCACTAGCTCGTCGATATCCTTAGCTAATTCACTCCTCAAGCCCGCTATAACTGCTGTAACCGCCCGTCAATACATCGTGTTATCCAAGCTGGAAAGCGCACAAGTCATGTATAGCTTTGGCTAATACATTCCGACGATGAGGCCCTTCTTAGTCCACTTCACGGCGTTTTGTCATTAGGTCAAACTACGTTGCGGACAGACAGAATTATCTAGAGTAGCAAAAAATCTTTGCTTTGGGGGATGCGGAAGGCCATTGGTATTCTAATGGCTTTTTCATAAAAAATCGCGCCAAACTCGTTCATCAGATATTCGTGTGGAAAGTTATACTAGTCTAAGAAAGGCTGTTTTGATTTTCTTCTGGAACAAGCGAAAGATTCGGGAAACGAATTGGCAATATAAGACGTCAACATAAGAGATTTCGATATCATCATCAAACAAGGCACTGAGAACCGCTTAAAAAACGCGTTCGTTCCTGCTAGGCGGTGTTATTCAATACGAGCCTCCCAACAGCTTTGGTTCTCCTACATCGACTCGAGACTATCCTACTTGTTCCACAAAACCAAGTCAACGGAGCCCTCCGACGAGTTCATTTGGAGTACTGACCGAGACAAAGTGACACCGCTCATCCTAAAGCCTCTGACAGTTATTCTACAAGAGAAAAAAAGCAAAGCTGCCCTACTTCTGTCGAACTACCAGAGTAACTCAAAATTATACCTTCACTTCGTTACTGTTTTCGGTGTTACTAAAATATCTGTCTCCCATGATTCGGGGCAGACGAAGGTTAACCTATACGCAGACGATTTTGTTAAGCTGGCAGCCAGTTCCAGCATACGGCGAACCCTGACCGTGCGTCACCTCTGCAAAACACGGGTTGTTGGTAATTAAATGAAGACAATGGTAACTAAGGCTAAGTGCAGACGATGCATAGGATACGAACACGACCTCACATAAGCCGGATCTTCACTCCCTTAAATGAGCAAAAATCCCCAGTCTGCTCCTAATTACTTAAGGCGCCTTCTTCACAATTCACATTAGCAAGATACCTGGCAAGCCGTTGCCGTCCGCTGTGGAGACGATTAGAAATTCTCATTTATTGTCCAACGCGACGGCCTTCCACTTTTTAGATTTAAAAATCGCATCAACAACCGCGCGCGGAGTAGGGACGACCTGGAAGAACCTAGATCGGACATGCCTGCGAATTAAACGTGTGTTGGTCCTACGTAGGGCGCAGACCTCCTCGCCGACACCTTCCTATTTATTGAAGAGCTAAGGAAGCGCTTCGACGAGTACGTTAAATAAAAATGGTTAATAGGTTCAAATACGATACGGTGTTTTAACAAGCTGCACACGTTCACACCTTCAAAGATGGTAAGCTTCACAGCAGTACAAATTAAATAAATTGTATGTTATGCAAGAGGGTAACATATTTTTTGCACTGCTATTGCACGACTATATACGAAATCATGAATAGTTTTATCAGTAAAGGCAAAACGTTTGTGATTACTATATATCGTCGCGTCTGCTTGACGCGACGATTGAATAATTGAGATAAAAGCAATCTGACTTGACAAATCGTAGCCGAGTTGATTGAGAAACAAACCTCGGTTTTATACTCTTTACTTCCGGTGACTATTACGGTCTCTGTATTTTTCGACGTTGTCGTTTTTATAAATCTGGTAAGTTCAACATTTATGTAACTTAGCAATTCATCTAATGCAGTTTTGATCTGAAAATTATTACTGAACTATTCTAGGCGAAGGAACTGCGAAGTGTTTCGCTTTGGGGCTAAACTTTGTACCTGCCTGTGTATTTGTCAAGTGTGTTCTCTGGGGAGGTTCAGTCTGCACCGCTTAGTTTTAATCTTACTTTCGTTTTTTCGCAACGGGACTTTTTCGCAGCGAAGGCTGCTACCTTAGGACAAAAACGCAAGACTACTATGTTGCTGCTGCTACTATTATACTATAGAAAATAATACACATCCATGGCAATATTGTGCAACGCATCGAAGCCTAGAAGTAATCAGCGTAAGCTATAGGCAGCAGGACATTTTCGTGCAAACCGAGAGCGGCCTTCAAATCTTACGGTGTATTACGAAACGTCTAAGGACGTCAACAAAAAAAAAAAACTAAAAAGAAACATATGTTTCTTACGTTCTTTGGAAAAGGCCTGTAGCAGTGTGAGTTCTAATTTCGTTAGAGAGCTTTCGAAAGGTTTTTTAGGGCCACGGACGGCCTGATGAATGTATGATTACGATTATTAACCTTCAATATTGAAAAATATCCGAAACTGGCAGGGTTCACGTGAATTCGATACGACCTTGTGACAATATACAACGTAATATATTAGACAGACTTATTAACGTGATGCTTATGGTTATTGAACAAAGTTACATTTCATTAGTCTGCTTTTAGCCATACGTAAATGAAATAAGCTTATCAAGAGTATTTAACAGGCTGGATGACAGAACCGATAGAGGATTTCATCGGCCATTTTTATCGGGATTCTAGCAGAGTGTTATTGTCTTGGTCGATTTGTTTGGCATCTAAGACGAGTACTAACGCATAGGATCGAACCTTGACATACGACGAGCTGGATGTGCCATACGTCTCACTGATGACTGGACAGACGCGTGTTGTTGGGTATCGGTTCGAATCCTTAGGAACTGCTTGTCTGTGTAGTTCGACCTGATGAAACATTTTGATATTTTAATTTCAGCGGTGTTCCGAGCCATTTGATATTTAACGACAATCGAGAGATACTCGTAAGACTGCGAGGAGCTGGCCGAGTTACAGCATACGACGTGGATATATTCGTATGAACAAAAAGGAAATGGAAAATGTATGCACGGATAAATCGTCGTCCCATGCCTACGGAAGGAAATGTTTACCCTCAATGGACGCAGCTCTTGCGAACGGCCATATATTGAAACAAGATATTACCTTTTAAAAGCCAAAAAAAGAACTAGAAGAGAGAAGTACACGTTTTACTCTGCTTTTATAGCGTTCCCTTCGGTTCTTCGGTATTATTCTTGTTGTGAGTAACCAAGCCCTAGCTGATGGCGAGAGGCGAGAAATCGGGAACAGCGCCTCGTTGCCGAGCTTCCGTTCCGTTACATGTCGGGGTACAACGAAAGTGTTACCGTTTTATGGCAAAAAGTAGACATGACACTTATTATTATATAATATAACAAGTGCGCGCGCGACGGCTGTGGCGGAGGTGGCGACGGTCGTCAACAGTACTCGTAGTAGTATTATTGTTGCTAAATTTCGATGTTGGTCGTATTGGGGGTAGCGTTGATGGTAGGGGCATTCGTTGTGGTAATAATGTCTCAGCGCAGCTTGCCTGCGAAGTACGACTGCTGCTACTATCCACATGACGATGGCGATAGATAGATAAAACTCAGTCCGTTTGCAAGTTGCGCTTCCGGTTGCAGCCAACGAAGCCAGTGCAAAGCTAGCGAAGTTATAGACGAAGCAACAGGACGGATCAGTAATGGCGCAGAAGCAAGTCGACAGCGAGAGCAGAAGTCAAGTGAACGACGCAGTGAATAGGGTTGTTGATAGAAGCCGAAAAGTCCGAAGCAGCGGGATGAACTAACGGCGATTCGTTCTTGGTCGTGCTTTTGGTTGCTGCTTTCGCGGCCGTTGCCACCGTCGATGTCGACGCTGCGGGTAACGACCCCTACGACATGCTTGCTACAGGAGCAACCGGGAAAGTTCCGGTCGGAAGTGGGTCAGTCACTAGGCAGCTGCTGGGGCAGTAGCGGCGGCGGCGGCACCATGATGAAAACGAAGAAGATGGGGCCGATGACGGATAATAAGAAATAACAACAGCCATTGCAGCAGCAGCAGCAGCAGTTGTATTGACGCGGCTACGCGCAAATTCCCGTCGGTTGTTCTTCTCGTGTTTGGCGTTCAGTTTAGCTCAGCCCTCGTGTCGGTCGGGGCAATGGACCCGCCAGCGACATACAAACACACAAACCTACTCGTATCGTCCATTGATGCCGATAACGTCGAAGCGACGATGACTTGTTCGCCCGGCAGTGGGTCGGAGGACTTCGATGCGCCATCTGATCAGCATCGCTGCTGGCGACGGTGCCCTGTAACGGTCGGTGCGCGAACGCAACTTTTCTATAAGAACGATGTAAGTGCAGTGAAGATCAGCGACCATTATGCCTTTCAAACTGCGGAGTATTTGATCATACTGACTTTTCTACAGAATACGAATCTTTGAAGGCGCCATACTCAGAAGGTAACGCGCATGCCATTGTAGCTATTTAAAAAAAAAATCAGCGGGTAACGACATGGTGAAATGGATGAATCTGAAGATCGGCTGTCTGCTATCGCTAACCTAATAACGATAAAGTCTAAAGAATTAGAAACAAGAAATTTTAAATCCGCATTTAATACATAGTTCAGTTAATGCAGGATTTATTTAAACATTTTAAAACCGTTGCAATGAACTGGAGCGATGTTAACTACGAGTCTAAACAGAATAGCAAAAATTAGACAGTACATAGTGCTGTCAATTTCGGACCTGCAGTTACGTAGTTTTTTCTGCAGGCCGAAAATATTGGCTATTTATTTTTCAGAGGAGGCAACTTTCACTGTTCATGTAGTTTCAGGTCGTTGCCGCTAGAGGCGCTCGTGTTTTGTGTTACGCGTGCTGGGGTAAATGCACCTTTCTCCATAGTTACTAACGTTGCCGCCGGGTCGCCAATTGCCAGAAAGCCCAGCCGCAACGATTCTATACAACGGCTTCGGTCTCAGCCGTTGGCTGTCAGCGGTGGTGTAGCCGGGGCAACGTGAACCGTTAGAAGAGCACCAGCATCATCACCGTCACTATCAGCAATGGCAGTAGCAACAGCGACGGCGATGACGACAGCGGGGGGGAATGACCAGATAGCTTCCGCGACAGAAAGTGAAAGGGACTTGGCGAAGGGAGGGCGAATTGGCGGTCGTAGACCCCGCCAGCACTTCGCTAGCTGGAGTCGTTGCGGCGGCTCACGGTTCCGCGATGCTGTCGTTGCGATGGTTGCTACTTTCGCTGGTGGTAGCAAGGGGCGCTCTCTCCGCGTCGGATGTTCCTCGCATCAAGAGGGAGAAGTCGCTTTCGAAAGTGGCACCGGGGCAACGGACGCTGCAATGGCTGTCAGTCCGCTGCAAACTACGGTCCGAACCGGTGGTCGCCACCAGCTGCCGTTACTGACCCAGCTCGCGCCGCCGTTCAATACAAACGCAATGTATTGCAGTTAATTATTGCAGTGCAGTAGCCGCTCACACTATAGCTTAACCAAATAAGCCAAGTTGCCTTTACATCGATCTCGAGTAAGTTTGTTTGGTTCTGGGCGTGTTTGTGCATACCAAGCGAGAACGTTGAGCACGTAAGCAGCAGCAGCAGCAGCAGCAGCAGCAGCAGTGGTCTCTAGTAAAATTACCAGTGGAACCCAAGAGTTAAGGTACAACTGCTAGTAAATGCGAAAAATTGAAGTGCTTCTCTCAGTACAATCCTATTGTGAACGACTAAGCGTTAACTAGCAAGTCGATTGGATTAAAACAACATAACGGAAATACTCAGTGATTAGATAAAGAAGACGAGCCAGTCATCACATCACGCCTTGTTTTGCCGAAAAACGTACGGCCGAGTGCAGATTTTCTAAGGAAACTTTGTTTTTAGTATCGTACTACAGCAGGACGATCATTGCCGTTGTTCGATACTGATAGCAAGATGTACATAACTTTGCACCAGTGACTGCCCTTTTCACTATCGTCTATTTGATGAGGCCAAGCCACCTGTCCCGCTGAAGGTGAAGTTAAGTGCCGTCAATATCCATGTCTGATTCAGGTCAACAAAGCAATCCTACACAGCAGTATGGACGGGCAACGCAAATAAATCGCATAGCGCGTACCTGAGACATAGTTCAAGTCAGCTCTTGAATTCTTGTGTGACAATAGTTATCAAAGTCGGTCTAACTTAAGTTGACGTTGTACAACATCAGCTTCAAATATTGAATGCTTCAGTGCTGTTGCCCGCACCGCCGACATCGCCACCTGCATCACCGTCAGCACCATTTAATTAGGCACATCCATATCCGCACGGTGTACTTTCTAAGCACCATCCGCATTGGTGCAAGTGTCGCTGCTGTGGAACCTCGAGCGGTCCATCTTGCTTTTGCCCCTGCTGCTGCTGCCAGCTGCTGCCTGTCGAATTGACTGACCCAGTTGGGTGTGTGAATGTTACGTCATTGAGGCCTGTGTGTGCGTCTGTGTTGGTGCATTCATTAGTGCAGGCGAACCCAGGGCAGGGACGGTTTTGGACACTGGGACGGCCAGCGTAAGTAGAATCACACACACAAATACGCAGCTGTTGGCAAAGATAGCAGCATCATTATAATCATCAAGATCAGTCGCGAGACAAACGATTTGCTGCCATCGTCGCTCTCGCTGCCGCTGCAAGCCGTAGCAGTGGCACAGCAGAACACAGCATTCGTGCAGGCCGAAGCCCTTCGGTGAAGGCAACGTCGCCAGCAAGTACCAGGCAACGACAAACGCTTCGCTACCCGGGAACCACCCGATGACGTGTGGGTGCTTTGTGGGGTGCTTCGTTTGCTTTAGCTTTTGCAACTCCTGCTGTAACAGCAGCATCAGTTGTTGCCGCTTTTGTGGGTCCGGAGCGATCACGCGTCGGAGACGCCTTTGGGCCGAAGAACAGGCGTTAATGAATTAGCGATGAACTAAAAGCGCCCAAATGAGACAGTACTAGTCTTGTGATGACTTGGTTTGTCCCGCCCCCAAAAGCCTCTGAGGCACTGCGTAGCTGGGGAATTGTCCTTCTACGTTTTTGTTGCAGTCCATAGTTGCCTGCTTACTCGCGAAATCCGCGTGTTTGTGGAGTGGACGAAAAAACAGACTATATATATTCTCTACCAAAAAAGGCTGCTTTTTGCGCTGTGCTTGTGGACCGAATCAGTATCAGTGCGTGCCTAAGAAATCAGAAGCCTCCGTACGTGCAATTTCTTTGCGGCCGTTTGATGGCCTCGGCTCTCCACATCCTCTACCCAAGCGAGAGCTATAAACTCGACAAGATTCGCTCCCCACTGCCGTCCGTGCCGGTTGGAGCTGGTGGCGGCCTACTAACTGGCCTGTTTGCCGACAGAATGGCTACAACAGGCCCGTTTGGGCCAATGGCGCTACCGGTTCCGCTGGCCTGTCTCCAGCCGAAGTTAGCCGGACACCCGGACAATCCTGGCCTCGATATTTGGCTGCAACTGACCCGAGGGGCTGGTGGAGCTCCGCCGGTCATTGCATCGGCTACTCCAGATGACGTACGGTTCCGGCCGAGTCCGCCCCGCGGTGACTATCCTCAAACAGAGCTACCTGATTCGCCATGCGATCTTCGAGTCTCTCCGAGACCACTACAAGCTGTACCTCTTGTTAAGCCAGGCTCCTACAATAGTAAAAGTCCCCCTTCTGCGAGTTCAGGGGTTCCTACCACAAACGGCGGGGGACCAACGGTGAAGAGACGTGGCCGTGGTAAAGAACGTATCTGGACACAGATCGAATGTTTCAACAATGATGGACAGGCTAAGGCTTTCGTGCAAGCTGAAAGGACGTGGGTGATGCAGAAAAAAACCCAGGTCCAAGAGGGAACCAAGGTCTATTACGAATGCTCTAAGTATCGATCGGCAAAGTGTCCCGCAGCAGTCTCAATACTCTATCATGCAAACAGCGATCGAGTATCGGTGTTTCGAGCTTCCGGCGATCACAATCACGCACCACTAGAGCCGCGTCACAGTAACAAAAATTCGAATAACGCGTCGCACGCTAACAATGGTACCGTCAGCACTACGAGTCATCATCAACAACAGCCGCTTAACCACAAAACACACACAAGCACAAATGCACAGGTTAGGTCAGAACGATCCGAAGGTAGTAGTTCCGTAATAAAAAATGGCCAGGAAATTGCTCGCATGGCATTACAAGCCAACGGTGGGGAATTTAGCCCGCCAGCGACAACGACTGCTGGTGCATTATCGTATAAAGCTGATCCCGTAGCGCCAACACTGCACCGTCCTGTAGCGACCTATCCTATGAAGAGGCCTGAACCCCTCGAGTTGCGTCATAAATTTAAGCAACACGCGATTGGCCTAACCAGCGATGGTTTGATAGCCCACTCTAACTCCCTTCCTCATATTCGCGCCCCAGAGCCAACCCGTGCGGCACACTTTGACTATGCCAACTACCACCTGCAGCAACAGTATTCGCCCCATCATCCGTCACCGCACCATAACCATGGTGAACATGCCCACCACAACCACAGCACGAATCTAACCCAGCTCGATTCACATTCACCGCCCCTGATGGGATTTCGTCCACTGCCACGAGATTCGAAGTTGAGCAGCCGAAGTCGCAGCCGATCGCGCAGTCGAAGCCGAAGTCGAGACGATGAGGACGACGGCGGAACAACGCCTCAAAGCGATGCCAGGTTAACCGACAGCAGCCACGAGTCCGGTTCGGAAAGTTCTGCGAGTTGCAGCGGCAGCAGTACCGTTGCAAGCACCGTCGCAACAACTGCAACGACGATTACTCGACATTCGGTTATCTCACGTACTCCATCAGCGCCACTTCCACTCTCACTTTTGCCGGATGGCTCGTCTCGTTGTTTCGTAATGAACTGTCGAAGTAACCATTTGGCCGATCATTTGCCGCAGCTGCCCCCAACAATGGCGACAGCAGAAGGTTCGCCGTCATCGTCTGGTGTATCTTGCTCTTCGTCCGAGTCGTCACTAACTGGTGCCAAGATTGCACCAGTAGCAATGCTACACTTCCCAAAGGACCTGCTCAAACGTATGGTCTGGAGCATGAACGTAAACAAGACTAACGCTGATGGCTCGCTGTGTATTGCCGCTAGCGGAGACCTCATCTGTGCAGCACATTTCAGCCGGGATCGGTTCGAAGTTTTTCCCGGCGTCCTGAAGCCTGATGCTGTTCCAACATTGTTCGGACCAGACCTCGTATTTATACGATCAGAAGGAACCCACGATGCCGAACAAACCGACTGCAAGGTAGAGAAATTGCTTTCTAATTTTGCTTAGACATCTTAGATATTTCGGCTCTATTGGTCATTTTTCAATTCAATTTTCAGTTCGTTACTTTAGCTAAAATATGGCATGAACCATTTTAATGACATTTAGCATGTAAGAAAGATGTCTAGTCTCGCTAGCATAGCTCACGAACCATGCCACAGCCAAGTATACGACTGCATAAATCTCCAAAGCAATAACTGTACTTTGATGGTTATTCAGCCTTGTTTATTAAGAATAGAACTTATCCTGTCAGGACTATTGTACATGCTATGTTTTATATTGAAACAGATTCTATTATCGAGCTCCAGTGAGCGAGATGCTTCCGTTGCCAAAATCTGCGTTCGACCTGTTTTGACCTAAAGGCAACGTCCCTAAAGAGCGGCGTACGTTTTTTCTGGCAGGTGACAACTTCAAAGGAAGTTCCCGTACGTAGGCTAAGAACTGTCCGCAAACGAGTACACAGTGCATCTCTTTTGCGACGACTACAACGAGCTCAGCACACGGTGGATAAGCTGAGACTCAGCAATCGAGCTCACCGGGCCAAGATCAACATTCTCAGAAGGATGGTAACCAGAATTACTGCGCGTAAAACAGAGCGGGCTCGTTAGACGTTCAAGTGTACAGCATGGCGTTACAATTGCACATTGGTCGCCGAATTAATGACTATGGCGGCCGTACATTGTACAGCGTTCTTCGATGCTTCTTCGGACAGATTTGTTTTTTGGAAAACCTTCAAGGTAATTTCGGTTAGAAAACGGTTCGTAGCACGAATAATATTAATGGAGTTTTGCTACCAAACGCACATGGGTGCTTGCGAAAGCTCAACTTGAAGGTCCTCAAACAGCAAACTTATACTCCTAAGGTTTTTTAGCAACCGATTAATGTACGCCCACCTCAACTATTACACGAAGCAGGTCAAAAACGATACGCGTCCCAACGAAATTCTCATGATTTGAACCCGGTTTGGCTATTTATTACACGAGAATGAACATGTAGTATTTACGCTAAGGGGGATGAAACGACACTCTTCAGCATTGACTTGGGTCAACAGAAGTTGATTCCTAAATAATTTAAATTTTCGCGGTTCAAGTAATCCATAGGTAACAAGAACTCGACATATGCTAACACCATCACATATCACTTGTGAAGCAACACGATGATAGACCATCTAACTTCTTAGACAACCTTAAAGTCTTAATTTTAGTCTTGAGCCGCTATCTGTTAGTTGAGCGTTATAGAAGTAGACAGCATCACGTACGTAGCCTTATCATTTCTACATGCGTTTCAGTTTAGGGCGCCACAAGTTCTTACACCTTAATCATAAGCAAAATGGGTTGAATCAAAATTTCCATTCACTTTAAACGGCCAGTTCATGCGTGTCGTTGAACATCCAACCCAACCCATAGTTTGGCTATATAGACTGGTCATCTGTGATCATTCGTTATCACCATTATTAATTGTTGTTTACTTTGGCTGGGCCAAGTGGTGTAGCGCCATGACGTAGCTCCAGCATAACGTAATCAATGCATTTATATGAAATCCTGTTATACTAATTTGTTAGATAGTACAAATTGAACAAACACATATATATATATATATATGTATGTATGAAGATCTGTAGCGGCAGAAATACGTACGTTGCTATCACATATTGTGTCAAATGTAGCAACAATGACAACAATAGAAAATCAGCCGCACTTGGCAAAGCCAGAAATTTCTATAAGGTGATTCAGATTTTTTCTAGACTTAGCGGCAATGAGAGGTAAGGAGGTGTTCGAATAGCGTAAACATGATCACCAAATTAAACGACTGATTTAGGGTTATCTGCTCGTTAGAGCTTATGGCCTATTCGCTGACTTATACATTTTAAATTATTGTATACATATTTCTCCATGCAATGATGTAACTTGCTAACAAGGAAGTTGGGCTTTGAGAGAAGCATCTATCACAAATGTCACTTATGAATCTATCAACTGTTAGATACATATCTTATATATATGCATACATACATACATATCCACAATATATATGCTTACAGAAAAAAAAAAAAAGAAAAAATCCTCGTGCAATGGGACGCGATGATGAGGCGCAGTTCACTCAGAAGCGTTCTACAATCAGGGCGGGCCAGGGTGGCCCGACTGTAAATAGGGTTACGGTGACAGTTACCCATCGACCAATTATTAAAATAAACAATATAATCATCACTGTTGTTTCTGTTACTTTTCGTATGATTTCTATTCTTTGCCTAATGAAGTTCTACCTCGCCACCCTTTGGCTTATTGTTTTGTTGCATGATTTTCACGAATTGTTGTTCAGACTTACTTTGGGTAAATATTATCACTTAGGACATACCGCAGGCGGTGGTTGTTGTTACTGTGTTCGCGAACAACGGATGCCATTAAAAAATCGTCGGACTCGAGTTTTGCTAGTGCACCCTGAGCTTCAAGCTGCGTTTGGAGGGGAGATTCTTACACTACATATTTAATTTAGATTTGGCCCCCTGCTATATACGAGAGGAGATCGTGCACGAAATTAGCCGCAATGGCCTAAACATATTAATGGGGTCCAATTATATGTTTCTTCAGTAATGTTCATGTTTACGCTATTACTTCTTAAGGCTTATGTATTAAATTGGTGCTGGACAAATCTTACCGTAACGTATTATATAATAATCTATTTATAATGATGACAAAATAGACCTGTATTAACTATTTAAAGTAAGCAATATGTATTGTATTAGGGTAACGCTGTGCGTCAAGCTGAGCTCCAGGTATCGAGCTAAACGACAACAACGCGATGGTATACAGACAGACATGTTGGCGTATAACGGCGGGTGAAGGTTTAATCCAATCCGATCTTTTGTAGTATAAGTAGCATATAGAGACTGGAGCGGAAGAGGCTGTCGTCAGGAACGAATCTGGGTGTTACTCGTTTCCAGGTAATACATCAGACGAATGTTTGATTTAACTAGAATATTGTAGCCAGCTTCAAGGCACGTATAAGGGTTTTCGTAGCGAAAACGAAAAATTGGTGGGATAACGTACGCCATCTTTTTTTGCCCGATGGATCGAAAGCTTCAGTTTGCCTCTAATATTCGTTCCGTTGATGATCACTACGCTTAAAAAAGTCAGGAAAAGAACCCAGCAACCGAATTGTTAACGACAAACGAGCACTGGTTACTTACAGTTATGATTAATACAAAGCTACATGTGGTCCACCTTCGTAACTTCTGTTTCCTAACATAGAGATCGATGATGGCGATGACGAGGCGCGTGGTAACGATTAGCCACTACAGACAAAGTTTTGTTAAGCATTGTTGACTTTGTTCAAAAATATAAGTTCTGTATGGAGTGATAGAGTAACAAGGATGAAGGGGGCGGCGGTCCTATGTGGCCTTAGCCTACTTAGTTGCTGTCACAGGCACAGTATTGACAGCACAATTGATATTGACAGCATCTGTTTTTCGTTCGATTTTTTTTGTGACATGACAATTCGACAAAGAAATATTAATGCAGAAAACTTACTCTATTACAGATATAAAAAGCAATAAATTAATGTTGTGTTCGTATTGTCTCACGCAGTGCATTCTCATTTAGATGAAGGGAACAGGTGCATGCTGTATCTAACGCTTACTTCATAATAAAAATAGAAGGCCCAACAAATAAGGCATAATCGAAAGCAAAATTACAGGAATGATTTTCTATACACGAAACGTCTATGTAAAGATGTACCCTTTTGCCTTGACGACCATGTATAGCGGGTACATGCAGTGCAACAGAACAAGTTGCACTCGAACACGCATACAATCTGTACTTATTAATCTATTGTACGGGCATACGTGCAGCGTAATTAGCAGTTTCCACTTTTAAAGCGTTTTTGAATTTAAAACTGAATTAAACAGTAAATTGAAGATTAAACAGTTGATAAAAGGAGCTAGCTGCTGTTCAAGAGAAATGTCACAGGCCAGAAGCAAGTATAGTTCATTTTCACCAAACGAACGCTTTTGCAGACGACTATAAAAACATTAATTTACAAATTATACCTTTATTAGGCTCTTTCCTTCAGGTATTCGACCTATATCAGGTCTAGATGTCCTCATAGGGTCAAATGACGCCTTGAAGGTTGAACCGTACTGTGGTTAACCAACTAGCCGAGGCTGGCGTAACGCCTAAAGTGCCATATTGCTTAGAGTATCGAAAAACCATCAATGAATATTACTAGAGTTTGAAAATTAGGCAAATCCGAACGAAAATACGGAGAACTTCTTAGCGATGGAGGTGCTAACAGCCGTACAATTACACCGAACCCTTCAACACCCACACAACAAGGATTCCATGAGAAATTTACGCCTACTAAAAGCACTTGTACTACCTGAATATTGTGGTAGTATCTGACACATAGTATCCTTAACACAACAGTTCCGATAAGTAGCTATAACACGTTTGAGACTAGTTGCTTTTGTCTGCGTGACGTATGATACGAAGAGACCTGCGTACTACCGAGATGTGCAAAACTAGATTCATTGCTAGAAAAGCAGGATTGCGGCAAAAGGCTTGACCGATCAATTTCCGTATCTCTAAACGTGGTGGGAAGTCAGTTGCACTCCAGATGGACGAACGAATATTGCCAGACGCTATCAACTAATTTCGGTCAGGATCCCTTGAACTGGGCGGTTTATTTGAAATCGTATTGACGGACATGGCGGAGCAATAGCTGGAAGTTCGCGTTTACCCGCAATAGGTACATTGCTTGAATTGTAAGCAAGCTAACGATTATTTCTGGACCTGATTTTTGCTTTAAGGATGAACATGTCTTTGTCAGAGGAGAACTGAAAATAACCTGCAGCTTCGCTCTGATCGTAGAGCTATAGCGGAACCTGTTTCTGCCTTGTTTACGGTCATATATTCTCTTGTAAACTATCGATTTAAGGTAATCCAAAAGGTGCATAATATCGATGGGAGGTTCATCCAACGCGAACATATTGGGTAATAGCTGATTTACGCTCGAATCTCGATGCCGTAATACCCTTTTCCGTTCGAGCTATAAGTTCTCCTTGGAGCTAAAAAGTGATGGTAAGTTGTGCCAAACATAGCCAAGTCATTTTACCGGTTCGTATCTTAGTTCTTCGAGGCCAATATGGTATGTGACAAAATAAGCTAAACATGAGCCAAATGGTCCAATAATCGTTAAAACTAGTTTTTCTAGAAGCATTGAATAGACTCAAATGGTTTCTTCATTGGTCCAAATACTTGTACATAGCATGTTATTAATAACTGGTTAATATTTAATAGTGATTTCTCCATAGATGAGTACCGAGGTATGTGCAGCGGCTTCACGGTCTTGCGACGACGTCTGGTCAGTGATTGTCTTAGCGTCCGATCGGTCCGTTCTGTAGACAAAATAAATTCATTGAAAACTATGCACAATATCACTTTTAAACAAAACCTTTTCCTAATGCTATTGCGTACCAATCGAGCTAACTAAACTTTGCAGTTAGAAACTAGATTCTGATTATTAAAATACGACTTCTACTGACATTTGTCCATACAAAAGGTCTATTGACTACAAGCCTAATATCTAGAGGAATACATTTCGTTACCCACATTTAAGTAAATCAAAGCGAAGAAAAGGAAGCTTAGATAGTACATCAACTGCCTGTGCTTTCTGAGCTTTTTAGTCCGTTGTTGGTCAGAGCCAAAATTCAGCTTGTCTTAGAGAGTTCTTAGACAAAAGGTGTAGATGAACGAATTACATCCCCATCACAATAGGTGAAGACAACTAACAATGGTCCGAAGGAAAAAAAGAAACGTCAATTGAGGTCGGTGGCAGAATTGGTTACTCTTTGCAGATGCGCCGTATGGGCGGCGCGCACAGCAAAGACGGCGAGTATTAGAGGTCGTCAACGAACGATCTAACGGGTCCTGGCAGCTAGAATTATCTCGGGCTACCGAACGATAGGCACAGCAGCTACCCTGGTCTTCGTCGGCACCTTATTGTAAAACTTTGGAACTATTAAAAAGGAAGATCTAGCCCAGAAACCGACAAACAAATAGAGCGGGAAGTTCCCTTGATGACCTAGCAGGAGAATTTAATTTCTTAAACAGGTACTCACATGCGACGGTAAAAAAATGTCAGGGAGTGGACCAACAACCCTGGGGTGAGATCAGTTTGCCAGAGGACAATGAATCCTTCAGATGTACCTATGTTGCATAGTGATTGCACTGTCCACCTCCTGGGACACTGTTAACAACTTCACCAACGAAAAGAGCAGGAGAGCAGTTAACGATAGTCCAAGTGGTCTCGTGCAGTTCATAACGATAAGACAAATTAGAAAGTAGGTTAGGCCAGAAAAGGAAAGGCCGACTAAACTTACTGAAACTGGATGAACTGAAGACGGAGACTACATGGGCCGCATTTGGAAATTGGCCCGTCTAGGCCCGACCAGCCTGCGCCAGCCTACCGATCCGGTGATACGAACAAATGAAGATACAGCGTGGTCCAAAGCGGAAAATCAGAGAAAAAGAATAGAGATTAAAAATTAATTAGTAGCCGGCGAAAGCAGGCCTAGTCACCGGGATCGAGCTCCACACCCTGTTCTCATAAAAAGAGGTTCATGTGTCCCGCTGGTGTCCGGTCGAACGCAAAACGTTTAGCCTACCACCTGTACAGTCTGTGAGTCTATGTGCTCGCAAATGATATATTAATAGCGTAAGATCGTAAGGTGCCTCTTTTGTAGGTATGATAAGGATCGAAACACTCAAACCGCTTAGTTATTATCATCAGGATTTTCTAAATAGAGCGAACATTTTTTAGTACATGTGTGAAGAAATCGTTACGTAAATAATAATTTAGAAATTTTTAAAAACTTCAACAATGTTTCAAGTGCTCGACCAATCATCAGGTGGCCGATATACGGACTTAAACCCTTCAAATGATTCACAGAATCAGGCTAATTGGCGTCTCAGTTTAATGATTACAAGACAAATGAAAGGTTGGTTATAATATTTTTATTGCAGACAAGATGGGAACTTTTATAGTAAACCTCTTCAGTTGTTGAGGGTGGTCAACTTAGCGTACGTTGCTAGCGTTATGGAGTGGGCGTCTTCTAGTGATCTTGGCCAAATTTCGAATTTCACTACACTTACGTGTAACATAGCGCTGTTGCACGGCTCGTTCGAGGATCTTAACTGGTTCGTTAAGTCTTTTCTAAACGCTGGTACCATTGGCTTCCGTCTTTTTTTTTTTTTGTATCGCTGACTAACTTCGAACTAACGCATCGGCATTGAACTTGGTAAAGTTTCATTTCTCTGGAAACGAGTCAAACTAGCGAAACGTACGCACATACAACTCCCAAATTAAAAAAAAAACTTAGTTATAATGCTTTTGTACATGCATAATGTACCATGCTTGTAACTGCTGACCGTTTTAGGTAAAAGACGACAGCGTTCTCGTACAAATTAGTTAACTCCAAAAATGAATTTTTACTTTTACGGAAATAGAGGGAGCAGCTTAACCCCTTATTTCTGTAAGATATAAATGTCAGTGTCAAATAATGAGTTATATTTCTATGTGGCTTTCTTTCAATGACACTCACCGGAGCTAGTAGCTGTTTCTAGAAGCCTCCAAAGCTTTTTTTTTTTTTTTATTATAATACTAAATAGACGGAATCGAAACACTGCAGACTTTCCAGTATTCAAAAGAATCTGAAAATAAAAAAAAAATTATTAATTCTGGTTTACAGCAGATGCGACTGATTTTGATTTTCATCGACATTATATTTGGTTTAAAAAACAGAAAGTAGTGGCCGATGCGGTTCATAGAAAATAACTGCTTCTCTTTCAATTTGGTTTCTTTTTACGGTAGTTTCTGGTTTGAAATAGCTCATGGCTAGACACCCAAAGCTCAATCAAAAGAGAAATACTGAAGTATGAAGTTTCGCAACTTTAATTCGCTGTTTCCATTTGGTCATATTTCCATGATTCATGTGTTAACCTGATGACGTATGTAAGTAATAATATTATTATGGTTGTTAACTTGTGTTAGATCGCTATGCGTCTGTTGACGTACCAGTGATAAGACGGTCAAGGAAACACGTTCGAAGCTCCGTGACAATTCCTGCATCTGTATTTTTTGTGCCCAACTCTAGCAATAGATAAATGGAAAGTCCAAAGAAGCGTAATTAAAAATATGCTGATTAGTTCAAAAAAGTTAATGATAAGAAGTTTCGAATAGATTGCAGTTCTTGTTTTCGTTTGCCTTAAATAATCTGCGCCGCGTCTGGAGTGACTGGCCCAATAGCACATATACCTTATGGCCACACATACAACTCACAAACGAGAGGTAAGTTGCCTAAATAAGTTGACACTTGCCTGCCTAGTCATGCTATAAAATATAAAAACATGACAATAAATCCACTTATTATCAATAAAAACTTGTAGGCCAACGTATTGCGATTTGAAACACGGTTGAAGGCCATTGAATTATTCGTGGTGGACATATCTAGGGTCAGGTGCCCTGATACGTTGCAGAGAGCAGGGTTCGCACCGACGTGCTTCCGCATCATTTTTACATACAGAATTTGCATCTGGATCAACCTGTAATATAATATATCATTTGAAACGTAAAAGAGGCTACTAGTACATTTTTCACATATAGGACACCGATTAACAGGCTATTTATTAGACGAAAATAAACATATTTTTCGGTAAGTAAAGCACTAGGCTGAAATAAACTTTAACTCCGTTGTTGTTGAGTGAGGCCATGCAGCGCTTTCAGAGTGATCCATCTAAATTCGGAAGATAATTCTCATGGATCCCGTGCCCTGCTTGACATTCTATTCCTTAAATCAAAGTCGTGAATCGTTTAGATGCAAGCATATCTGTAGTTAATTCGTTTATTAAAAGATCCTATTAAAGGAAATTATGAGTATGTTGTTGTTTGCTAACTGAATGCTAATAATTTTTACAGAATATTTAAATTTATTCTTGCTATTCAGTGTTTTTTTTTTTTTTTTTATTTTGACGGCCACGTCATCGCTGGCCGATTATTTAATGGTATATGGCCTTTAGACTAAAGAAGATAACATGTTACTGCTTCATTCGATTTGCCACTTTTCATGCTATCTACCATTAAGGGGAGCACAGAATTCAAAAACTGATAATTTCAAACGATCGCATTAGGCTAACACGCCCCACAGTCGGCTATCAACGGCCTCTGGCTGAAAGCGGCGCAGGATACGGCCAGGTACGGTTTAGCTAAGGCTGCTCTGCCGTGAACAGATTGCACTCTTCAAATGCTGAACCGGAGCAAACTAGGAGAACTTCGCTTGCGTTTGGTCTCTGCACCAATATTGGATGAGACGCTGACCTAGTATTGTAATGGCAAACTGGGACGATAGGCTTTGACGCTGAGAACAAAACGGGTCGCATGTTCTCTACGATGCAAGAACCTTCTCAGTTCCCAGAACTCCCGTTAAACCACCACATACAGCCATATTGGGTCAGTAGAAGCTCAGTTTAGATGGAGAGGTTGAGCGGTAAACAGAGCGACGGTGGTTGTTGGAATTCCACTGCCCTCGTGGGTACAAACGTCGCGGTTGGTAGAAGCTGGGGTGGACGGGAGTGGAATGGTGGATATGCTTCCCGCATGCAAGCGATAAAATGCTAAAGCTTTAGCTGACGCGTGTGGTAATTTGTACATCAACGATGATGACCCGGAGTTTCAATTTAGCTAAGATGGAAACTGGGTAACGCGTTTCAAGTAGAACTGGCTCCTAGTATTTGAAAAAGGTATATATATATAATGGCCTAAAGCTCTCTGAAAGTTTGTTGACGTATTTGGACATACTCAATTTAATAAGATCTTGGGGGGATTTTTTGGTCAACACATTTGTAGAATAGAAGCCAAAATAGCACCTTTATAGGTCCTAAAATTGTATGAGGGTGCCTCTGCTGTAAGTATATATAGCACACTTAACTCCGCTCTTTATTATCACAAGATGTATATTTCTTGGTCCTTTAACAAGTCCAAATAAATACAAACCTCTGCAACCGTCCCGAGACTTTTCAAACTACAGGGAGAGCTTATATATAAAATAGGTTGGAGTAGACCTGGAGACGACAGGAGTTGTATACCGTAAGCACAAAACAAAGTGAAGTTAAAATGGGCTAATGCGGTCTCTAACTATCCAGTAAATACTGCCCGTGCGGGTTCGCAGTACGAAAATGGCATACCAACACACATTATGACCACCGTAACTTAGAAGACTCCGATAAAAAAGTTTTACGCTATATATCGTTTAATTTACAACACTATGGGATGTAGTCGGCCTTCCCCATAAATACGGTGAAAGTTTTTATTGACGACTTTGCTATCGTCGCAGAAGTGTAATATATATAATTTTTATCTTTATATCCGGTCTGTGGAATTGATGATTCTACCCAGAGTGACAGAAGTGTGAATACGAACCCTAATTCAACGTTGTTTATTTTAGTATTTTCATTAGTATGCGTCACATGTTCTTGTATGTACAAACAGGCCATTTGAAGCACCGATTAAATGAACTACAAAAAGAAACGAACTACAGAAAAAAAATGTTTCCTTTAAAAGAAATATGTAAATATTGCTTTTTAATATTTTTTATCCTGTTGTATTTATCCTGCTTAGTGCAGCAAAGGAACGCATTTAGTACGCAGGTATTAAATGCAATTGAAGTTTAGGTTAACCCATGTTAACATACTTTTTCTACATTTACATCAATCGACTGTCAACATCAATTGAATTTTACCCTTTCACCTTTACTAACACTCGTGCAGCACCTCATGTATGAAAATCGACAGCTGAAGGGGAAAAGCTGTACCCCAGCTAATGATTGTATCTGTTATATGATTGAATCTTCTTAGTCTTGTCGATGCACGTACACCGTATACACTAAAAAAAAAAAAAACGTTCCGCTTACCTTGGAATTCTGAACGGAAGCAACTATATCAACGGGAAGACAGTTTCTCTCGATGGTTACCTAAAAAAGAAAGAGTACGTTCTTTGAGTATTGTTAAGCAATTCAATAAACAAGAGGACCAGACCAAATCAAGCGTATTGGCTTAACATCTAATTATAAATGACAAAATTTTATACGTGGAAGTAATCAACAACTGCTTCACATTAACTATTTTATATTAAATAAAAAACAATTATGTGCAATAAAAACTGAATAAAGTTTATATGGCCGATGTCAGGGTCCTGTTACGCGCAGAAACCTGCCATACAATTAGCAAATATTAAGTTTAAAGTGTTTAAAATTGAAGGGAAAATTCATAAACGGGAAAAAAATTTCCAATTACAAATAATAACATTCACTAAATACCTATATTATACATTATAATGCAGCATACGATATAAGAGCTGCGGATAATAAGATAGAGTAGTAAACAAACATAGCTCACCACAGCAACTGCACCAGCAGTTCTGTTCGAAGGATCATCGTTTTGGCCTTAGAAAACAAGGACGGCAAATAATTGCTTCTATAGAAGGCTGGAGGGCGCGCTTTGGCCTTATCGTTGAGTACCAGGGAAAGTCCACAGACGAAGTCGATACTTTCGACAACAACCTAAAAACCGGTCAATATCTATCGAAATATGTGCTCAAGGATACTATTCTGACTAGTAATTTAAACCACAGTATTTTTGAAAGTACGATTTAAACATGTTAAAAATATTTTTACTTAAATGTATACAGATATTTATCCGTTGATAAATATGTACCGCGAAAACGTTTCCGACAAACTTGGCAAAGCACCAGAGTATTAATTTTTTTTTTTACGAAGAACTTGAACTGACCAAATTCTAATGACATAATTGAGAAATTAGATACACAAAGACAAGTATAACGAAAATGCGATATATGTATATAACTTAAGCTCTTTGTCAAACTCTATCGGTACTTACCCTCAAATGCAAATTTCCGTGCCTAGCGGCACCTCGTTGCTGTAAGACATTACCTACTCGCTCTTTAATGACGGCAAATAAGCATCCACAACTTAAGGAAGTTAATTGAATTATATTAGACATACACAGTTTTAAATATGATAGGATTATTTTCGCGGAACAAGAACCGTCACTAGTTGAGATGAAAGTGAATGTAAGGCCAATTCACAACATAAGAGATGTGCCAGTTAAATCGGAAGGCATCAAAACACGTTCTACAAGCGTAGACCATTTTAAAAGAATAATAATAATTCGTATAATTTTTTTTTAATAATCCAATTAAAACACTTTTGATGAACTATTTTCTTTCATAGAAGCGCATAATTACTATTTTAACGTTTGACCAAGATCGTTTAGAAGCTCTAATTCTTTCAATTAACAAACGAACTTTTCGTACATTTCGAGACCTGCATGTAATCATGGCCCACAGGGCCACCCATCGAAACCTGATGGATCAAACCTTGGGCTGTTCTGCGGACAGAAGCCTCTGCTTCAGAAGAAGTTCAAACAACCGGAACGTCTACTCTGGACGAAATTACTCTATAGATACTTATTCCTGCTGAACGACATATTGTTTCAGTTGGCTATTACTCTTTCAGCTCCTAGTTTACTACAGTTTATAAGTCACTCATATAAGCTTGCTTTCGGACCGATTCGCCTTTTGTCTATTCAGAACCTAAGAGAGCTGAGCAGCATAGAAGCTATAGAAGCATAGTTTAAAAAACTCTGGATTACGGTAAACAACGCAGGCTCAAGCCTACCTTATATCTGAAGGTGAGAACATTGCTGTTCTGTGCGTTGTCGGCTGGTTTCCAACCTAAAACGAGCAGACCTTTCACGCTGAGCATTCATCCTGACGATGGGATCTAGAAGCTCTCTATACGTATTATGCATCGTGAACCAACTTTGCAATTACATTTATGGGAAAGTGGTAAATTTCAATGCCAAAAAATGTGTCCTCCCCAAAAAATTAAAAAAAAATGTTTATAGAGAAACAGGAATACGGTTTTTAGGCAAACAGATTATTGTCATTTTACGATAGCTTGCATTCAATTAGAAATTTTATTATACTGATAATTAGTCATAAATGCAATCTGTCCTCTTTAATCAGTTAGAGCCTTACAACACTGCAGAGTATTACAGCCAATGAAGGCTTTACTGCTTGCAGTTGGCATACGGATCTACGCAGTTAGTTGGATGCCTTATAAGGACGAATTTAGATTGCACCGACAACTACGGATCTGGGAGAACAATTACTTCCTTGTCTTTGCAAATTCGAATTTTGGTCAACTCGATGCGCGAGCCGGCCTTAATTCGAGGCCATCGGACAAAAACGACGGCCTATTCTTATGAAAGATGGATAACTAAATGATAAGAGCAGGCTAAAAAATGTTTGTTAGGGCACGCCTATTCTAAAGGCTTACTAAAGATTCCAATTCTCGCATAAGGTCGCACTTTAACGGCGGGCCAGAGCTCACACTAATCATTTTGAGAACTAGTATATTGGGTATGTTGACTGCGCTTAATTCGGCGGCGGAAACGGCCTGCGCATTTACATCTACCCAAGAGCCGCGTAGACGGGTGGCTTGATCGCTTTGAAGCCAAGGGCGACCGGGTTGAAAAATGGAAAATTCTGTTCACTTGGTCCCCCACACACTGTGAATGCCACTAGGACCCTGATTTTTATTTGAAATTGAAGAAGCTATTGGGCAATACGAGCTGTCTATAGTATCGTCAGGTGGCAGGCTCCAGCATCTTTAGCACTCAATTTCCGTTAGCCCTTCAATCGCTTATGAAGACTTTTTTGAAGACAAATACGCCCATCGTACTGTTAGTCTACTAAGTGTTAACTCATCGTGCAGCACCACAACTGGCGCATATAAACACTGCTTCATTATTTCACTAACCTTTTTCAATATAACAATGCGACACAAGTTAAGAACATCAAGAAGGAGGACAGTCGATTTTGAAGCAGTTGTCTTCCAAGTTTTAAACAGGCATGTGGACAGAAGCTCCCGATGTCGATATTATATATAACAATACAATATCCATCTCAACTCGCTGGACTCAAGCATGAAAATGCAACGAATGTACAAAGTGCAACACGGCGTTTAAAGAGGTTTTCCCTAAGATCGTACGACTAGAAAACCTGCACCATGATAACATAAACCAGTCGATGCACTATCCCGAAACGTGCAGTGCAGAAGAAAAAAGTACTAGAAGATTAGCTTACATAAAGGAGAGAACATTTCAGGTCAAAGCCAGTCACGGTCAGTTCTAGCGATAAACTTGTTCGTAAAAGAACCGGTTGGCCGTAATATCTTTGCGTCGGCTTGCAAGATTTTCCAAATTTCTAACGAATCGAAAGAATTAGTGAGCCCCCTATCATATTATCACAGCGTTTCACCGGTATAACGTGTGATGAATTCTGATATGCCTATTGATCCCTAATCAGTACTACATGGAAATACTCTCTGGCCGAAGAAGACGATTTGGAAGTAAATACGTATTCAGGATATTCTACACGCGTGTATGTGCTAGATGCTAGGGTCCCTTTTCTCATCAATTAGCGTTAAGATTTAGCTTTTCTTTTCTTGGCATAAAAGCTGGCACTCCTACTCATCCCGTCAAAGAAAGGCTGTCATGCTTCTTGGCTGCAACACCAAGTAGAGGTATTCCAGTAGTTCTGAACGTGACCCTGTAACGAATGTTTGAAAAACGAAGACTTATCACGGCTGAACCAGAGACATAGGCGAGACTCAGTATCGCAAACGTATAGCATAATGTGCTAACCCGAGCCCATTCTAAGCCTATTAATAGAGGCTAAAAAAATACGAATGTCCGTATGCTTTCCATCCGTAGAGCCTGCACATGTTTTCTAATGATATTAAATTTAAAGCGTTCGTTTTAGCAACGCGAACAGTTGTCACGTTAAGATTCAAAGGTCCAATATATTACTATATGGAAAAACCGGCTGTGGTGTAGAAATTTATCCAAAAATAGAAAATTGTTCACAGGACGCTTGCATTACGAATTTCGCCGAGACCAGTTAATAACTTGCACGGAGCACTAACAGGATTCCGAAAGTTGGTCTAAGTTGGCATCAAAACAATAACTTCACATTTTTTACGTAGACTTACCTCGTATTTATTAAATATTGATGAGATGGTGTTACGTTTGAGATCTTTCTGTACGTTCAAACCAGTGTTGTCTATGATGAAAATAAATACTGTGCCTTTTACGTGATGACCTATACACGACGGCCCTGCTACTTCTAACGTCGCGAAAAGAAGCTGCTTCTATTGGGGCGACCCGACCAGGTACCTTGCGTGGCCTCCGGAACACAGCCTAATTTTCTATGAACAAAATAGAAAAAGATCGAAGGATATAAGACTCTTTATGGAAGTCTGCGGGCGTGGTGTAACCAATGTATGTAACAATGCATTAGACCGAAAACAGCACCAATAGACAACTCATTGTAGGACTATCATACGTGGTGCTTAAATATTGTACGTTACAGGTTAGCAACTATCATAAACGCTAACTTTGTAAAAAAAATACTGCTGCGTATGTATGCTCTTCAGTTAGCTGTGGAAACTAGCATATAACAGTGAAGAAAACATGCGATATCAGGGCACTTCCTTTTTCGTTGAAATATCGCCTCGAGCTTCCAGCGCGTCACGACAGATTGCTCCGTTGTTCAGTTACTTGTGGCACTTAAAACTTATCCTACCATCGGGATAGATTGTTTTCTGCTTTATGGTAAAGAAATTAAATGACAGAGACGCGGGAACCTCTAGAGGGTTTCTTAGCTAATGGTTGATTTTTTGTTCACAGTTTTGTTGGTTTACAAGGTTGATTCACAGTTTAGCATGGCCGCTTCGCTTATTATTATTGTAAATGGATTTTCCGTTTGTTAGAGACTTGAATCATACTTACATGTGGATTAACATTCGTAGCATCAAGATGGTAAAATGCAACACAAACAACGCGTGACACTTGCAAGTGTCACCCTTTATTTCTCATACAATGGACACTGTTTGTGTACTTGTTTTCTTTTTAAGTCTAGGCTGTTATTTGAAAGATAACGCAGATTTTTAACTTACCGAATTCATAGATAAAAAATTTACCCGCACTATTGTATAAGCTGGACAGCCGACAACCGTCCGCTGGCTGGCTGGCTGTAGGGAGTATTGAAATATCTAGTCCGTTGGCCATCGCTGGCCCACTGAGACTCACCAGGCAAACGTTAATAACTTCATCAAAGAGATGACGCTCAAGGGGACCCTCAGTAATTGGCGCCCGATCAAAACCCGCAAAGAGTGCAGCGCTCGCCATGTACAACAGCAGCGTTTAGCGGGAAAACTTAGCTTCTGAGTGTAGCCTTTAACAGCAAGTACAAGGTGTTATCGCTTACATATGTGAAGTATCTAGAACATGGTCGTCTGAACAAGGGAGCCACTGACCCTACCTCCGAGCCCAAATGCCTCTTACATAGGTTGACTTATTCAAAACTAAAGTGACATTTTCATGACGTTTATTTATTCATTTACACTCGTCGGCCTCCTTAACTGCCATACCTACTACTAACAATACCGGTGTGTAAACTATTTTCACACAACAAAATTTTTCAAACGATTCAGAATTATACATTCTGGTTGATGACGATCTTGCGGATAGTCTTTCAACGATAGTGGGTATTATGAAATCCTTCAGTTGAGATTTGTCGGCCAGAATCGCTCATCCAGGTTTACATAGTCGCCATTACGGGAAGCCTATTAGGGACAGTACTGCTGTCGAGGAGGGTTACACGAATCAGCCACGTAGTCATATCAGAGAACGTAATCATAATAGTAGCAAGTTAGTTTCCTGTATAATTATAGATCGTATGATCGTAGTAGAGCACCCGTAAGTGACACTTTTCGAAATGACGATAAAGAAATATTGCCGAAACTATATACTCCCAAGCATTAAATGGTTCGGGCTGATTATGCCCAGATACAATTGATTGAGTTATTGTATTTTTCAGTTAGTGCGCAATCCTGGCCATAAAATAAATATATCAACAGCGGCAGCTGTTATGGGTCTCATTATCGATTTCGTACGAATGGTTATCATGTAAGCGTATCTCCACTTCGTTTTGCATAGAAAGCCGCGTCGCGCTGCTTAGCTATCCTCGAAAAAAATTACGAGATGCCTTGCGCTACCTAGACTGAAAGCACATCAGAAACGTCTGTCGTCCACTATGCTTGGCCAATGTAATTTTATTACGATTGCTATTAACTACTATATAACTCATTTTCTAGGCTAGGTTCGAAGGAAACAGATGCCATTTGAACCTCATGAGCCTCAGCGGTGAAGCGGCTTTTTTCTTCTTTACTGTACGATCTGAATTGTAGGTTGCAGCGTTCATATTCTACGAGCGGCTTTCAAAAACATTCCTATAGGCATCGAGTAATAATACCATCTGATTGAACAAACAAAGTTCGAGAGCAGAAGTACAAGCGTTCCATTATCGTTACATCCTTTTCACACAACAGTTGAAACTGTTCCGCTTATTTTATGCGCATGATCGTTCGATGGCTTACTTACTTCTCTGCTAGCCAGTACCTAATTTATTTGTATTTAATCATTCATTATACAGCATTAGAATGTTGCCTAAAAAGGGAAAACAATATATATAACTAACCAATTTTCTAGTACGTTTTTATGCAGAGTGGTACTAATCAATTATTCAGAATCCCACGTAACCAAATACCATATATTACATAACAAGTCATCACGATGAGGTATCCGCGGCAGCTTTATATGAACACTTAAAGAACCTCCAAATTAGAACGACAGCTCAATCACCTTGCCAAACACTCTTTCAGAAGGGACCAATGTTTAACGAGCGTTCTCAGATATCGGGCCTAACTTTTAGATATTTGTCACGATAGTGTAGAGCAGGCGCGGGATAGAGTCCAGAAAACGGGTAACGTCCTTTGTCAGGTGTATTTAATTATTTAGCTTACCACCGCGGGGAGCCGTCGCGATGAGATGCAAGGCCTCGTATTTGCCGTATGTAGTGTTTCTTAGATGCCGTAGTTTTCGGTAAGGTAATGACATCTATCATCCATTTCGTTTACCTATGTCGGCAACGAGGCTTTCATCCTTGTATACTTTGCTGTCGAGGTCTATCGATATGAGTGGAAGGTGAAAAAGTTTCAAATTGAACGCCTTCCTGTGACTAACATTGTCCTGGATGTGTCCCGCGATTATCCCGTTTGAATTTGATTGGCTCGTTCGCTTCCGAAAATAATTATTTTCCTCCTCGGGAACTGGTTGAACTAATGGCGGAAATTTGTAACGATCGAGGTAAACATCGGATGACATGACCATTGCTCCTAGAGTGGCGGGATCAGCTAGGGCCTGGAGATAATAGGCGCAAAGCAAAACGTACATCAGTTTCAGAAGTTTGTCCACTATGCAGGTCTGTCACTCTGTTCTCAGGCCCATATATCTAGAAAAAGCATAGTGGTACAATTTCCGTCTAGTGATTTGATAACAACGAAATGTTTGTTTGAAAATACTAAAATGTTTCGGATCGATTATGATGACATGCATGCATGCCGAGGGTAGGTCAAGTCGAACTAATATACCGAGCACCGTTACCTGTGGCGACGCATGCTGATAGGGCAGAGAATGCATATTGTAGATAATGACAATTATCTAAATAAGATAGTATAGTTGTTTACTCAAAGAATATTTTATGGGCGGGGCGAAAAAGGCATCGCGTATCTATAGAATAAATTTGTGTTCGATATGATTTACCGCTTGCGTACTTTCCTATACCGTTCTGCCCAGACTTACCTCGGCGTTTACTGGTTCAACAATCGAATATTCCGGTAGAGGCTGCTGCCGTTGGTCTTCATGGTGATATTGGTATTGACGGGCGTATGGTAGCTGTGGCAACATATACCCATAAATCAGCGTTGAAGCACCAACGTCTACAGGATCGTCTACTTGAACATAGGACGGAGATGTATCTTCAGGTTTGAGACTTGAAAAGCTATTGGGAGCTGTCAAGACTAACGTTCTATCTTTGGGCGGCTCTTTTCTTTGTTTTTTCTTCTTTAGCCGATATTGGCTTCTGTCTCGCTGTGCTAGAGGTTCCCAGGGTGACTTGACTTGCGGTTGAGCTTGTTTAGCGTCCTTACTATGAAACGTCTCTTGATTCAACTGCTCAATTTCTTGAAGTTCGTCAGCTAGATTTGACGGCGATTCGTAGTTGCTGTTAACCCGTTCTTGCATTTCGGTGCTTGCAACCTCCGTATACTCTTCTTTTCGATCATTAACAAACGGTAACGGTGGCGGCAAGAATGGAGAACTTGAGCCGATCGGCTCCTTTTCATCAGCTTCCACTTGTTGTCTGGCGAGCAAGAAACGGATGAATAATAATTCACGCTTAGACAGACGGAGCATGACATAATGGAGAGTTTAATGTTCTCTTAAGTTATTGATTACCGTATAGAAAGGGTCACGGAATATGCCCAGACGTTGTCATGGGCCTGGACACTACAGGCATTACTTTCAGAGATCTTTGCCATTGTACGATCAAGATCGTTCTCTAATTTTAAGGTGCCATATTTCTATGGAAGTTCGAGGTCTATAATGCTCATAATAGAAAAATCCCCTAATTCCCTAGCCTTTTGGCCCTAACGAAGATAATTAACGTAAGCGTTTTAGCTAATAGTTACGTTTACGTATTCGAGTATATATTTAGGTCTACCGTCCAGTATTGTACGTCTTGTTTTTGCTTTTCTATAATGAAGCAAAAAATTATTAAATTCGCAAAAATTGGATCATAAAAGCTGTAGTTAAGCGGAATGGACGGGACAGATATTTAAGCGCCAGTTAGCAGAGAGCCACGCCGTGATTTTCCCATCCATTAACGCAGATAGTTCCTGTCGCCATCTTAAAATTGCGAAAGTTGTTCCTTTTCTTCCTGGGGTTATAAATGACATACTACCAGGTGACTTATTCTAGCTTGTCAAGCAATTTCATAATAATTGTATACCATTACTTCAGTATCGGCGTTAGGTTAGTCGTGTGGCGTAAACGTTTTATTGATGGAAAATATGCTTGTACTTTTTAATGTGGCTAAAGCTGTAACAAAGCATTCTCTGCAGATGTTTGGCCAACATTTAGCCAACTTAGCAAACAAAACCCCTTAAGAAGAGTTTATTTAAAAAAATCTTTTAAAGCTAATATAAGTTAACAGAACCAATTAGCAGCTCGTATTTAGTAATACAGAATGGGGCATTCAAATTCGGACAAACTTTGACTGGCTGTTTGCCGTAATTCACACGCGTTTATCCGTTCTTCGTCACAGAAAAAATAAATCTTTCTAGAGTAAAACAGCACTCTCATCATGGTAACAGCAGTGCGCTGTTTTCGAAATTTAAGTGTGGGTCAGACATTGTACAATTTTTCTGTGTGAACAAACCCCCACTTCTGGCAAGAAACTTTCCTTCTAACCCAAAAACGACTACCTACTTTATTGCGAGCTTTCAAGCGGCTTCCGAAAAATTTGGAGAAGACGTTCGTGAGGCGAAGCAGAATATCCTTAACAGAGTTCGGATTTGAAAAGCTCGAAAATTAATCAAAACGGATTAAAACGGTACACCTGAGCCCTTGGTAAACGAGGGCCGTTTTGAAGGAGAGAACATCAACTGCCAAACCCCAAGCGTTTAGCCATCTTGAAATACTTTGCGCTTTTTTGTACCCTTGTAGCCATTCGAAGGCCTTGTGTTTTTGGGACCTTTGACCTACTGCGAGCCAAAGCATATTACTCTGTTGGTATTTCTTGTACATATCGTGTTTATCCCGGGTTTACATCTAGCAGTATTGCTTGATTCGTGGTCAGTGTTAAAATGTTATTTGCGGACTAGAAAAGGACTATTTTTAAACTGACATGTTCCCTATCGAGGTTGTGATCGCAACAAAATGGCGGTCGTACAAATTAAAAATAACCATCAGGAATGACCTAAAAAACCTCATCTTTATCCATTTTTGTTTAGATACAGTTCAGAAAAAATGTATAGGAAGAAATGTATATTTAGATGCTCTACCCTATATACCAAGATGGAGGGGCGGCGGAGGGAGAGGGGGAGAGAAGGATTGTCCCGTTGAACTAGCGGGAAACTTAGTTTTAAAATCTACAGATAGTTGCTTCTATAACCTTGCGAAAATACGTTTAGTGGAGTAGGCTGTGCATGGTTTGTTTACTACTGACATGAATGGTAAATTAATTAATGAACTGATATTGGTGCGAAAGCTGCAAGGAACAATGCATACGAGTGGCTTCAGTGAGATTTGACACACATATAGCATCCCAAAAAGTCGAATCAAAATGTACATACATTAACATAAGTTAGCATATATCATTAGCGAGCAAAGGTTAAAATCGTCTGCGTCAATCGGCCGTCTCAGACAGTTTACTATCAAAGAATAAAAGTAGCCCTTTTTTTTTTTGCTTATTTCTCTCATAGCTGCAAAAGCGCTCTCTTAATTAGGCTCATTTAGGCCATTCATTAGCTAGTCTATGATTTATCTACTTTCAAAAATTCCGTAGGTACCAACGGAACTTATCCTGGCATACGGGCAGACAATGACTTCGCCATTAACCAATAGTTGTATGTCCAGATCACACTATAGAAAATGTGGCTTAATACGTCCAGTATCGCCAGTAGACGGTTCACTCACGAACCAGTTCTAATCGGATCAGTTATAAGTAACAAGTGATATTGTCGAAAAGTAGAACGGCAACATCGATTGGCGGTAAATCGTTACCATGATGCTATTTGCCATTTTATTTAGCCGTTATACAATGACACTCAGGCAGGTATCCACAAGCTAAACAATAGGAACTAGTGCTTCGAGCATAAAAGTCACTTTTATGCTTGTAACATTTCTGTAGAACAGTAATATTTTCGTAATGGTATTATTACAAAGACAAGGTTATACTATGTTACAGACAAAATCCTTGGTCGTACCATGCAAAATGGCCTATTCGTATATTTGTGTGTTTTCATTTGCATTAACGCCTCTGTTCGTAGAATAGGCCAGGCACATCATGTATCTGCTCAAGACTGTGTATTTTCAGAATGTTCTTGGGTCCCTTTATGTGACTATTGTAATTAAAATCTACACACTTTTATAGAATGAAGTGGTCCTATGGTGGTCGCTTGTAAAACGCATAAGGCGGAAAGCGTGACTGCACATACGTGCACGAATATTATTGAATCGTGCAAATTAAAGGTAAAGAATTTTAGGAAGAGCGAAAAAGATAGAAATGATCAATTATATGACCTAGAATACCTATATAGGCAGTTCGTTCAGGAATAGCATTTTGATACTTTCCAGATCTGTTTTTTACGATACTCAAAAAAAGATGTGCCACCCATACACAGTTCGCTAGCTAGAATTCGTCATTTACTATTAGTTAAGGTTATTCATCGTTCATATACGTGTTAAGTCAGCACACAGCTAAAAAAAGCTTGCAAAATCTCTAGTATATAGAGATTCGATCCCAACCTCGTAAACCAAACTCTGTTAGCCTCTTACTAAGCTCAAACACTGCCTGTATCGACTAGATGCGTTCTCAAGTCTTTATATGTATTTACTCACGCTATAAAAATATCTAACAGAACGCCATTCAAATGTACAGTTTCGAAAGAACAGCTCACCCTCTGCTCGCGCTGTCTGATAGACTGAACGCGTTCCGATTCAGCTGCTTCGACCGATCTTCTCATAGAAGCCTGCATGTTAAACGGTCGCACTAGTTAGTCTATCTAGTATGCTATTGATCACTTATCACACTGAAAACGCCAGTTATTAAGTAAGTCGCCCTCACCGAATATTCATGCCAACAATAGTCTTCTTAAGCTCTGATCTAATGCAAGATCGAGGAACTATGTTGCTGAGCGCCCTTATCAGACTTGCATCACGCGAAGAAAAACAAACAATCGCGGAAAGAAGGAACCCTCGGGGCAGGTAACGAACAATCTCAATCAAGACCGCCAAATTATCGGCTACTTCGAAAATGAAGTCAATGGCTGTCTTTGCCGAAGTGCTATTATCACTGTCGACATGGCTCCATGCGGATTAACAACCACCAAAATTTGATTACTATTTTTCCGGTACCCAATACACGTCCAGTTTAGTTCTCGTAGTTAATCTTCTGTAATACGTACCCTCAGCAATCATATGAAAGCGCAAGCGTTTTATACGTTCGGAACAAAGACGATTATCTTGCCCCTTTTTTGTGCTAAGGAAATTTAGGAGACGCCTAAAATTCATTTACCGGGTTTCAAGTTTTACTACATAAGAAAACTAAGGTTAATGGGTTAGAGCATAGAACAACCAGAATTAGAAAAACCTTCATCAACTGTCCAGCGGAAATTATCTGCTTGGAACACTGTTAGCGTGATTCGAATACATGTCCAAACAGAGGCGAAGATCTTCTATATACCCATTAGCGTTGAAGACAGAACGCAAGCAACTAGAGAGAGCATCTAGGAGCAACTAGGGAGAGATTAATATTGACTTATTTATTCATTGATGGTAATATCATAATCGTGATTGTTTGTTGCTTTCGGTGCGTCATCCTCGTTCCTGGATAGATATAGATTCATGCCTCACAAAACGACACTGCAGTAATACACCTTTATACGTAAATCTTTATAATTCTATGTTATAATTATGCTAGTATATAATATAAATAATTCCTTTTTATGTAAATATATAGAAATTATCTTTTTAAAAGCTCTCTACGGTGGTTAACAACTTTAGTTACTATCGTGCACGTTCTGCAGATTCTGGCGCGTCATTATCCGGAATGATAGGATATTAAGTACTGAATCGAAAGATATAGGTCTTTTCTGGAAATTATACTAAAAAAACTAACTAATGTCTGTTAGTAGCTAAAGTACTTGGTTTGTCGTATGCCAATGATTAGTTACCAGCGTGGACGGCTATTTTTAATATTAGAAGCTAGAGCCGTCCACATCTCACAGTGCGTTATGCCTATTTAAAACAAATATTTCGGACTTTTACCTTCGGCGCTGCCATTAACGTAACGTTGATGGCTAACCCTTTCCAAGACGGAGTATACCTATGCCCGATTCGGAACCGAGACGACCTCATATATTCCTAAGTTTAATGGATACGTCTGTAGTTGTTTTATCTTGTTGAAGATCTGGGCTGATTCAGAATGGACCTTGAAAGAGGTATCGAGAATCAATATTAGTGGACTCGACGGGGTCCAAATGACGGGACTGAGCCTCAAGCTCAGCTCAGGGCGACATTATGCTCTAGTGGTACTGGTCGTACGTAAAGCTGTATTACTCAAACTCTCGACGAAAAGGA